ATGATTATAATTGATCATAGCCTATTTTTTTTCTTTGGGGATCCGTGTTTTATATATATATATAAGCGTCCTAAGTTCACATTTTGACGAAAATCATAAAAATTACTGCATTTCAAAACATACATAACTGGACTACACTTATTAGCAATCATTTATCGTTTTTATAAATATAAAATATAAATTAAATAACTCTATGTATCCTTCTTTCCTATACTTACTTTCTTTTCTCTTGTCAGTTAACACATTTTTGGTCGGTAAACGCAATTAAACGTTCCACGTAGTCATATTTTATAGACTGGCAATTAAATACAGGCGGTACTTTTACTTCAGAGAGGATATTTTTCGAATTTCCCATCAGTTCAACGTCCTGAAAAAAAAAAAAAAAACTGTCAGCTATAAAACAAGCATTTTAATATTTTAATTCTCTCGAAATATTATGTTATAGTTGTTCAAATGCCATAATAGTCGCGTTTAAACTTAAGATAATATAATTTAATACCTCACATCCTGCGCAGAGAAATGTGTATATCCTGCAGTGAAGAACACCCGGTTTCGTTACATTATTTTGCTTTTCAACGGATATACTTTTATGAGCTTATAGCTTAAGTGATTATGCAATCATTATTATTTTAAGTATACCTTACAATTAATATTTTTGCGTAACTATAAAACATAAAATAAAAAGTGATGATACTTATAGGTACTCCTGATGAGTGTGCCACTGTTTTATATGTGACGTTAGAAAATGTAGTATGTATAAAGTTATTTAACTTATATATAACAATGATATAGCAATGCTGACGAATTTCGTTTAAACATATTTTAAAATGTCTTGATTTTTACAGTATACTTTCAAAATTCTCATTACATACGAATTTTTTTTTTGTTTGCTATCAAATACAACTTATGATTTACACGTTGTGTAAAATAGTCGAATCTATTATTATAATAGTCGATTTCTGTTAACCAAAATAATCTTGTTCACATAAAATAAATAATTAAATAAAACCAAATTTAAACTAAAAAACCACACAAATGTCAAATGCTTGTAAATAACTTAAAAAATGGACAGAATGTTTTGACAATTTTACTCCATCTATAAAAGGTTTATATAAGTATTCAATGGAAATGTCAGTGTTTAAGATTATTACTAACCGAATCACCACAAAAAATAAAACAAAAAATTATGAAACCGTAAACTTCAAAATTTATGTTCTTTCAGAAATGACTACAATTTAAATTCGAAGCAACATTTCTAGTAAAAGAACATAATATACCTAATTGAAAACATTGAAACTTTTACTGCCCTAAATTTGACCGATTTTTCATAGACTTTTTTTTCAATTATTATGAAAACTACAAGGAAAATAAAAAAAATGACATCCTCAATACAATTAATGCAACAAAAAAAATTCTTGCCTTTTTTTAAACAGTTACATAGGAATTCTGTTAAAAATATTGATAAAACTACCTAAATTCGTAAACTATAAGGTTTAGCCCTTAATTTGTGAACTATTTAATCAACAATATGTAACAAAAGAAAGATAATAATACTTTGTAATCATATTTTACAAAAAATAAAAATTCAAGTCAACTGATACAGGTAAACATTGGAAGGACTAACTCACCTTTTGTGCATTTTTTATCTTGGGATGCAATTCGTATACAGCCATTCCTTTGATAGCTCATTTTCAAAAATCATGCGCTACAGTAACAGTGTGATCTACATACCTACCTATATTAAAATTGCATGAATTTATTAGCAAAACTAAAATACGTATTTACATAAAATCGATTGTAAATACTAAATAGGTACCTACCATTTGAGAATAGTTTTGAAATTTATGTCTCTCGATTATAACGAAGCGTTTATTTTGAACTCGGTCTCAGAGGTTTGACAAACAATAGATTTTAATCTCTTTTGTGCCATAATATTATTATACATACCTACTATTATAGCAGCAGGTCGGTCATGGTGCTTTTGTTTGAGAGAAAAGTTCTCTTACGACATACCTATAGTTTATAAAATCATGAAAAAAAAAAAGAGTATAATACGAGATCAATAGAATAAATAATCTATACCTATCGAATATTGAAATAGGGAATATGTATAATGTTTATGAATATTTTAACTACCCACTAAATATGCGCTTTCATTCCTCGAAACAAAAAGTAGTTACATTATATAAATATTAACATAATATTAGGTAGGTACGTTTGAATCAACTTGCGATCAACGAAACAATATTATCTCGTTTAGTTTTGGCGTAAGTACCTACATTTTACACTAATACATTATTATATAGGTACGAGATTAGGTACCCAATGAAAACAAAGAAAACGATTAGATAAAACGATTGGAATGTTTTTGAAGGTTTGGAAACCGATAGAGAATTGTTCGGATAATGGTAAGTTCCTACACGAAACCTATCGGGTAAAAAAAAATACATATGTTAGTTCCTACACGATAAAAAAAAAAAAAGTCAAACATGTAGATACTTACAAGTATCTGTTTAATATACAATATTTTAATATATTTTTTTTTTTTACAACTATACATTTACAAAATTTATCATATTAATTTTTTATTTTTTAGACATTTTGAAATTAAAATAACTTGTTTTGATGATATAGGAATTAAAATAAGTACCTTTTTTTTTGTCTTGCAGGAACTAACATACGTATCTTTTTTTATCATATAAGAACTAACATATTATGTATTTTTTTTTACCTAATAGGTTTCGTGTAGGAACTTATATTCACCCCTTAGATCAAGTGGCGCACACAGGGAGGTTAGGCCCAGAACCCCCACCCCTTCGAAATATCTTATTTTTCCATATTTCTACATAGGTTCTATAAAATTTCCCTCTCTAGGAAATTATTACATGCACAATCCTTCCCAAAAAAAATCCTGTAAGCGCTACTGAATAGATACCTACATAAGAAAAAGTTATGGGAGCTGAAAATAACATTTTATTATTGCGTATCAAATGATTTAAGTTATTTTACCTTAAAATATTACAAGATAGGTATGAACATTTCTCAGTTTGTATATGTCTGTTCAATAGAACATTAATTAAGTATAGTGAAAATATCTATAGTAAAAATATGTTCGGATACGCAACCAGTACAGTTTTCAAAGGAAATGGGACTGAGTGAAATTTCAGGAGTTTAATTTCAATCATTACTTAATATGATAGGTACTATTTTTTCATTAAATTTATATTTTTATAACTTAACTCCATATTATATTATTTACTGGATCTGATTTTTTTTATAATTTGTTATTCAGTAAAATTAAATAATATGTAGCGTTTATAAAACGTTATTTAATTAACAAAAAAGTATATTGTCTTAACTCATTTTGGAGCAATGGAGTGCCCACAATATATTCCATTTAAGAGCCGCCACGTACCGACGTGTCTAACGACCCTGTAAGTACGCAACAACAATCATAAACTGCTAAATTTTACGCGTACATAGGTAATTTTTATATGGATTGTACAAATAAAATATACAATTTTTTTCCGAAATCGCGAATTTACACTAAAAAAACCTATGAAAATGTTCAAAAATCATATAATAATGAGTGAACATTGAGAGCAAGAACTGAGTGTAATTAACCAAGAGTTAAGGGTACCAAGTCTATAGAGAATATACAGGACAATAGGCACCTACTTCGCAATATAAATGGCCAAACCTCGAGGATTTTTGAACGTAATCCAAAAATATACATTAACCACAATCGGACAGTTTATATAGTAGGTATAGTAAAACCTGGCGTACGAGATTAATTTCTCTGGTTTTCTCAATATTCTGACAAACTAAATGAAAGTTCTAAAGATATATCTTCTATCTCTATAGCAAGTTATGTAGTTCCCGTCAATAATACGTTGTTGAGGTAAATCGACAAAGAAACATTTGATAAACTAACCGCATAATATTATGTTTTTTTATAAAATAAAAATATAATTTTTAATACCTGGGTATGAATACAGAACAATGCCCTTCGGAAATTATAACTCCAGTTGTCACATAAAAAGAAATAAAATTCTGAGATTGAAACTCATAATAAATATTTATGTGAACCAACCAGCATTTTAATCGCCATTTCTCTAAGAACGATTGGTTCCTCTCACACAACACTATTAAATACCAAATTCCCTCACAAAAGTGTATATAAAATATTATAGGTATAATGTAGGTAGGTATTTATTATTATTTGTAATGATGAAATAGAAAAAAAATTGTACCAAACTGACAGGCACACACATACACAAACATAAAACTAACTGACCGATTAAAAAAAAAAAACATGCTATAAAGTCTAGTAGTCAGTTTCTTTTAAAATCAAATACAATTACATAAATTGTATGATTCCTAACAATTTTGTAATATAATCATTTTATTAATCGATTAAGAAACTCAATGAAAATTTGAAAAACTGTTGATAAACAGGCTTAGATGGATACCTCTGTCAAATAGACAAATAACAATTGACAAAACAAACATCATATGTGAAAAAAAAAAATGTTATATTCAAGGCACGCCTACAATTTACACATAGTTACACAAAAATATCTACCTACATTAGTATTCATTGGTTATAACTATCAATAATATTATGTACTATTGCATGCTTACCAAACTGTAATTTCTTATTATTTATCATAAATTTATCATTTAATCTGTAAATAATTTTATCTTCAATTAGTTTTCCAATATATTTTTATCACACATTATTATATAATTCACATATTTTGAATAGTACTTGATTTAACTAGTTTAACAAAAAAAAAGTGCATATATCATTATTCTTATAGTGAAAACTTTGACTACAGACTAATATTCTTAAATTCCATTTAAATATTAACTGTTCATAATTATTTATTATAATATTTCAAGTATATTACATATAAGAATTCATAATTAAATTTTTTTTTAAAAAAATAAGTAAATTACTTCATAATATAAGAAAAAACATGCCAATAAAAAAAATATGGCATTCTAAAATCCTGCACTTTGTATTTGATAATATTGATTATAAACACTGTAGCATATAATGATACATAACAGAACAAAAAAAATTTTTCAAGTCTCCACATGAACAAACCTCCACTAAAATCTTACTACACTGTTATAGAATATAACATTTTATTGATACAACTAACATTAATTTATATAATACATATAAATGTACATAAGGTATTTATAATCCTAATCAACCTAATTTGTTCAATCATTTTTTCCATTTCTCATATAAATGACTCCATCATATCTTGTTATAAATATCTAATTTATCATACACAATACAGGTACCTAATGGAAAAATCTTAAAATACTAAAAATACAGGATGTTTTACATAAAATACTATTCAAAATAAAATCTATAAATTTAATCTTTTTTTATGCACATAAAATATAATATTTGTGAATTTTATTAAGCACTTAAATTATTAGTTGTTAAGAATAGAAATAAAAAACCATGATTTTCTATTAAGTCCAATATTTCTCATTTACAACAGCTAACAAAATGCCATAACATAAAACAATAATTAAATACTAATACTAGTACACTAGTATACAAATATTAATATTATATCTCTTATAAATATAAATATAATCAGAGTTATATTATTAGTGAAATAAAGTATAATGTAAGTATGCATTTTTAAATTTAATCAGTTCTCTTACACAATTTAACTGAATTACTACTAGTTAGTAACTTACAAAATTATACAGGTATCATAATATTAATAATTGTAGAGAAAAGATAAAATCACATTAGAAAAAAAAACATATATATATGTAATACAATGAAAACTTAATAACAATATGAATAATTATAATTATTAATATTAATAATTAGTAACATGAAAATTATTGCTGATTGAAAAATGAATTAAAACATTTAAACATATTCCAGATCATGTTTTATATATGAATTCAACTCTTTTTCAATAAACACATCAAAATCACTATATTTAAACCATACTTTTTCATTTAAAATCTTTGAATGAAGACAATGGCACTGTACAAAATCAATCAAATTTTGACTCTTACCTCGATTATAAGGACTCTTATAACTATTCCCATGTTGAATAAAGTGTTCATATCGTGCAGCATTAATACGTTCATTAGTAGTCATGCCGAGCCAGATAATTTGATAGCTTTGACATCCTAACAGCATTGATACCCATATTAAATGTAATATAGCATTGATCATAATCCAACTGACCCATGAATCTAATCTAAGAACTTCCCAGACAATATCTATCATATTGTAATAATATATTTGTCCATTATATTTGTATGCCATACTTAGATACTTTATACTTCCATAAATTATAAAACCACATGCTATGAGCAGAGTTATAAGATAACCCACAAAGTGACGATGATTTGAAGCACCAATGCAATTATTTACCCAAGGACAGTGATGGTCAAATTTTGCTACGCATCTATAAAAATACACAAAATATAATCAAGTTGTTTGTAAAAGAAATTAACTTACAACACTTACCTATTACAAATGTTACAATGTTTTGATCTGATTGGCTTTTTAATAAGACATGTGCTACAAAACACATCTGAACTAAATCCAAAACTCTCGGCCAGTTCGATGATAGCAGCATATTGATCAGTTTTATTGTTTGGTACATAACCTGGATTTCCATTCCAACTGAACATAAAATTGTACCACAGCAAGGACGTAATGACAAAAAACCCAATCGAACACCAGAAACTTACAACAGGTAGTAACCAAAAAACCCAGGTGATATACATCCAAAATTTTGTAGCAAAATATATTGAAACAGGCAGTGTATTTGATACCGATATATAAGTGTGATTTAATTTATACATAATTATGTAACCAATAAGCATACAAAGCAATTTTGCTGTATACATCATGTGTGAATCCAATATGGAACCAATCGCATAAAATACTACTGAAACAATTATAACGGATAACAGTTGTTCATTGAATTTGAATAAAACATTCTTTGGTTTAATTTTATCATCCACAATTTTTAATGTGTTTAATCCTATCCAAATTTCTGATCTTGACTCGTTGATTAAAGTTAAAGCTGTACACCCTTTTGAGTTTTTAATAGTCAATGGTGAACCTTTGTTAACAAGTAAACTGATAGAAGTCGGATTGCGACTAATCAGAGCCCAATGAAGTGGAGTATTCCTATGTACATCATCTTGTACAGACATAGAAGCACCAAGAGATATTAAAAGTTTTGTTGGATGAAGATTTAACGATTTATACGAACTCCACATGAGAGCAGTCATTCCATCTTTATCCCGTGAATTGACATCTACACCTTTTGCAATCATATATGCTACAATTGCTGTGAAACCAAACTGTGCTGCAATATGCAAACAAGTGTGACCTTCAATATCGAAAAAACATGGGTCAGCTCCATTATTCATTAAAAGGACCACTGCAGATAAATGGCCTTGTCTAGTGGCCCAATGCAATGGGGTAGCTCGTAAATCACCTCCGACGGCGTCTACAACCGCACCTTTTGATATGAAATACTTGATTAATTCTGTTTTATTGTTAATCGCAGCCCAATGTAACAAACTAATATTGTGAGAATCTGATGTGTTGATGTCATAACCGCTTTCAATTATTTCAATACACCTGTTCAATAATCCATACTGAGAAGCTTTTACAATGTCAAAATTCTTTGATTCATCGTCGGTGATAATCCGATTTTGAGTATTTGTCGGTTTTTTGGTGAATACAGGTACAGAATCTACGGTACTTTTGGCTGAAGAAATTGCCCCGCAGCCGTCTTGAATGAGACTGAAGTGACCGCATAGCGAATGCATTTTTCTGTAAATATCAACAACCACACAATTTTAGATTGACTAGTATAGGTATAATAGCATATATATATTATAATATGGGTAATATACGGTTTTCGGGATTACATACCTATATTGATGGTTTTATAACGGATACATTGTAAAATAATAAACGTTCTGTGCACTAAGAATATCGGGCGCCACCCTCGCACAACAGCGATACGGGGCTTAACGTTTCGGTCCGGTACACATTTGGCCACAGTTGTTCGCCGACAAACAACTGTACAACCACTAAATCGTGAAGGGTCGCGACGACGGGTTTAACGACAATAGCACGAACAATTGAAGACGGGCTACGAGATACTGGCCGCAAGGCGAGAGGCGATTATGAACGAAACACAAACACGGGTAGCAGAACTACTGATAATGTTATGTTGTTACGTTGATAAGGCGGTAGACCACCACGGCCGGCAGTCAGGACCGCGGTTACCGCGATTAACGGGGACGTGATATTGATCGTGACGTCGCAGTAGTGACCCAATTCATAAGCGCGGCATTTTTCATGCGCCGCGCCGTACACCACGTACGCCCCGATTTTACTACTCAACAAACGCAGTCGCACACATGGGTTTCGGGCACGTGTACACCGCCGTAGTATAGTTTCTCTCCCGCATTCGCGCTCTCTGTCGCGCTCTCTCTCTATTATTATGTATACTGCGTACAACCCGCAATAAATAATAACAATACCGGTGCCTATAATTATTTCGGATATTCTGTACAAAACGCATTCGAATTGTTACGGTAATCGCAAATTCGAATAACCGGTAAATCCCTGAAATCGTTTTGTAACACCAACGAATCGGAACAGTCACGTGGCTTCCTCGATAATATTTATATTTGAAAACGTACAAAAACAAATAAATTAAATATGTAACCTATTGGGTAATTAAATTTTACAATATAATGACACCTATTTGTAGGTACTTCTCCCCCTACTATAAATCGTAATTTCGTCTGTGGCTCTACGCCAATGAAATGAATCATTTTTTTTTTTTTTTCAAAAAACACTGGTTAATAAAATAATTCATCCATATTGCTCATACCACACTTCAGGTAACAGTTTCGGATTTTCTCCATGTAGTAGGTCCCTTATAATTTTCAGTTACAGACACGGGGTCACGAAACCGGATTATTAAATTTAAATCTCTTTATGACGGCTCAAACTTTGAATTTGTAGTTTTTCTGATTTATGGGTTCCATTAATTGCCTTAAGGGTTGTCTAACGTAACCAGTCTAACCGCAGTTAATCAAACTCCACGCAGAATCGTTTTTTGTCTGTATAATAATTTATCATTGATTTCAGTGTATAAATTATCCTATCCTACACTGTACAATACTTGCGAAACTTATCACCTACACGTTTAATTTATTCTACATGGTACACGCATAGAGAGCCTATAGTAATTTGATACTTTTGAGATCTCGAGTTTTTACCGAACAGTATTTTTAGTTTTTTTTTTTTTTTTTTTCATAATATATGCGTCTACTTTTCATATTCCCCTGGATAACCATAATGTCGGCGGTTAAATCGTGGTATATTATCAATATCTAATTAAAATTTGGGCCATAATATTATGACTGGGCCCAAGGTAAGCTCAGATTTGTCAATGGGGTCCAAATAGAAAGTACCACCGGGCAACAAATGGGAGTTTATTTTAGGGCGCGCTGTGAAAAATGGTCAGTGCGTTTTTACCAAAGAAAAGTGTGTTCTTTCCGAGGGTTTAAAACCGAACGAAACGAGAATAATTTTGTTCGCTACGCTCGGAATCGAAAAAAGAAAAACGAAAATCCCGGCCGAGCAACGTTAACAAATATCGGAGACCCGCGTTGGGTACGTGCACACACACACAACCGTATCGTGACGATAGGGTGTTCGGGGTCGCGTCGGCGATACGCGGCGGGCGCAGCACGCCGTAGAATGTGCCGACACCGTCGTAATCCGCCGTAATAATAACAACTGTGTGTAATGGGGTAAAAATATCTTGTCCGTGCATTGTTATGATAACCGGTATGAACGTCGCGACAAACCACCAGAGGTGCCCCTCGCGTAATATTGAAAAGAGAATGACGCGACATCGCGCGGCGTGTTAAAATATTACAGAAGTTGCGTTCGCGCGCGCGTAAAACCGTTTTGGATTCGATTCGCGTCTCGCGGGCGTGTTTCCGCCGGCGGCGCGGTTAATTCCTGCGAACAAGACACACCGTTTACCTACGCATTCGATAACGATTCGCATATATCTATTATATGATACAGATAATAGATATAGATAAATATATTACATATTTAATACGAATAGGTTTCCGGTATGTTTCAAAACCGAATTGATGCGCAGAAATCGTGCGTAAACCTAAATAATTTACTTATTACTCAATTTAAAAACTAGTTCTCGTAGTTCGACTGAACGTTTATTTTGACGAGCCTTCATTGAAATTTAAACGTATCGGTCCAAACGGGTTGCAGTTTTATTGGTGGTCCATACGTGCCTCGCCAACCCCCCCGCGCCCATACCTGTATTATTACTTGTATACCTAGGCACGTAAACGGTACGATATTATATTGACCTTTTGCGATTATAATTTTTTTTTTTTTTTCCCCGAGAAATAAATAATGAAAAAAATATATGTTATATTTTATTAATTCACCGACCGAGTTCTTGGGTATTGGTATTTTTTTTTTTTTTGTTTCTGTCGTTCTTCATTAAAATCATAAACTATATATTTTCGTTTGAATATTTATTATAATAATCATTATTTTTATTTAAAATTTAACTCCTGCTACAGGGGTTTTTTTTTTACACAAACGTCATGCCTAATAATAATATAATGATATCCCGTTATAGGTACTCGCCGCTCTTTTGTTTGTTTTTTTTGTTTTTACGTATTACGCAATTATTATACAATAATAGTTTTTACACAAACTATATAATTATTTTTGTATAATATGGCGATAAATAATGTTTAACAATACCATAATAAATAACGATTTGAGTTCGGATGAGAATTTTTTTTTTTTCAATATGAATAGCTACCTACGTACGTCAGCCATATAATGAGTACACGTTCGTTTCGTTCATAGGTACTAAACGATGCAATTTTTCGTCATAAGCTGCAACATCTGAACTCTGCTAATGGGTAATACCTAATTATATCATTACAAATTTAAAAAAAAAAAATCGTAGTACACAATTATATATTATTTGTATGGCGATGTGTGTTGCGTACCTATACGTATCTATAGTGTTATGATATTTTCAAGTCTTCAGTCTATTAGATTTTATTTTATTTTCACATAATTAACGAATAATTCCAATTAAATTGATTGTAATTAAAATTGTCAGTAGGTTCCTACCTACTCAAAACGTTTTAACGAACGTTTTATATGCATAAATGACGACAAGTGGTCTTTCCCTTTGCACCCCCACACCTGCCCCCCTACCCACAATCCGGGGTTGCTTATATGAACAATGTCGAATACATATATTTTATAAGTGCACGTAAATATAATAACATACTACCTACACTATAAACTATATACAGAGTGTCCCACGAAAATTCGACAAATACAATAACTTATGTTCTATTCAATAATTTTGATATATATATATATATATATTTTTTTTTAAATAATTAGTACGCTACAGCACTACAGTTTATATATGAACATTTTTTTTTTTTTAAGAGGAGGGGGACTTAAAATGAAACATTTTAAATTTTACAATAATTTTTTTAAAAAAATTCAAAATAGCCATTTCATAAAACAGATTTTTAGAAAATTTTTGGTGGTTGAAACTTTTGTTAAAGTATGGTCTTTTATTTTCTATGATTTTTTGAATTTTATGCAAATGTGAATATTACGTATTGTGTTTATTCAGTTATAAGTTATCAGTCGGGATTTTTTTTTCCGTGAGTTAATAATAATGGTAATAATATTAAAAAAAAATATAGTAAAATTTTAAATTTTAATCTCCCGCCCTTCTAAGAAAAAAAAAATGTTCATTTATAAACATGTAGCGCTGAGGCATACTAATTATTTGAAAAAAAAAATGTACATCAAAAGTATTGAATAAAACAATAATCCTCGTGGAACGCCCTGTACACTTAAAGTATTACACAGTTGCATTGGCCGTCAAAGTTTAACACTCTTCGTTACATAATAGGAAATATAATATTTGTTGTACGTCTTATTATTAATGCTCAAATGTTCATAAGTTTTTTGATACCTTTTCCTACGCCCTGCACGAATCGACTGAAATGTCACACTTTTCTCGACTTTTACGATGTCTGTCTAGGTACCGAAAAACCACTTATATATCCGTCAGTCTCGCCGCACGAGTTTAACCGCGATTTTATTATATGCCAACAGCATAGGTATTATGATGTTATTGTGTATGGTTGACGAACAATTATTTTCGCGATTCGTCAATGTTTAGCCGGCTAATAATAATAAGCGTACGACATTATTCACGGTGTCGTATAATATGCTTACACGCGGCAACACAGCCGACTGAAATTTCACACTCTCTTTGACTCGAGGCTTTCTAAAAGTTGTACGACGGTTTAATTATCACTTATGCGAATTACACGCGGATAATAAAAGTCACAAACGTTTACGTACATCAAGCGTGTGTGTGTGTATGCGTATATAACGGTCGATATTGATCTCATCGGTGATGATCGTTAACCCATACGACGGCCATCACCCCCGTCACCTCTCGGCCATATGCTCTATAACGAATACGACACGCACACACACGTCACGGTCTTTTTAAATTGAACGGCCGCCGCCGAGGCGCAGGTCACCACCTATTATATACGTGTATGGGGGTACCCTGTCCGCGTGTGGTTCCTAATAACCAATACGCGCTGTGCACAGGCCAACTTTTATACTTGCGCGGTCCAATTATTACGGAAGTTTCTTCGTGCGCTTTATATACGAGTGAATACAGGTATATTACGTGGGAGGGGGTGGGGAACCGGCAAAGTTTCTTGCCGGTCTGCCAATAATTCCCGAGACGCCGCGCACGTTGCGCGTACCCAGAATTATTGCACTCGGATGTACGCACACGCCGAGGGTGGCTACAGCAGCGTTCGCCGCCGCCGCGATACGGCGACAAATACTCGACCGCGAAAAAAAAAAATAAAATACGCTACGACCCGTAGCCGGCCGGCCGGTCGCGGCGTAAATATTACATTATTATCGCCGTCGTCGCGGTCGAAAGTTGCCGACGGTGCCGCCGCCGAGTGTAGGTTTTTAATTGACGGAGGAGCTTTTGAATGGAATACGTTTCTCTCGACCCACCCTCCTCCTCCTCCTCCTTCAACCCCACTCCCACCCCCGTCTCCCATCCGTTCTCAAAAGCCCGGCCTTCATTCATTGACCCATATATTTCCCGTGGTGTACGTAATAATATGACGTGTATACGACACGATCGCGTCGACGGAGTACGCGTGTATAGTGTGTACTACGTCCCCGTAAAAAAAAAAAAATAATAATAATAATAATAATAATATGTTACTACGGGCCGCCACACTACTCGCCCTCTAACTTGTCGTGCGTATTATTGGTCTCCGAGTGTGTGTGTGTGTGTGTGTGTGTATACGCGACGTTTTTCAGACGTTGCCAACATCAAAGACTTACATCACGCGTATAGGTATTTAAGTATACAGGTATTTTATTATTTTCCCTACCCCCTCGTTTACGATTCACCCCGCCGCCGAGTATTCCGAATATCGATCGAAAACTATCGTACTACACGATCATGTACAACCGATATTTATTTACTATTGCTACTATTATTGTTGGCGCACGGTAATATTATATTATTGTATGCGCGGGCACGATAAATACCGTACGAGGGTGGCGCGTGGTACGCAAGCGTATACGCGGTCCCCTCTGTACGTACAATAGTAGACGTAGCACTGCGTTTGGATGGGCGTCCTGGAAAAACCATTTTTCCACGGCGCATACACACGCTCCGCGGCATTGCAGCAGGGCGATGGAGGAACGTTTAGTTTTCAATCGGAGTCTGTAGCAAAAATAAAACCGCCGCCGCCAAAAAAAAAATAAAAAAAAATAATAACAAAAAAAAAAAATACTGCAAAAACAATAACAATAATAAATAAAATAAAATAAAAATACTAACGCCGTGTAGAGTATATAGTGGCGAAAACCCGGATATACGATTAGACCGCAAAATAATCACAAATGTGCGACAGGGACTCGAGTTCGGGATGCTTCTTCATATCAAGAAAGGTTGGTGATACTATAATAATAATAATATTGGTTCACGTGTGTACACATACACTATAAACGTGTATAAACGTGTACGGGCTTACATACAAAAACCGCAATGATATACGACTCGGTGTAATTTAACAAGAATCACGTTTTGTAGAAATCGTTTCGAACGCGATTTAATCTATACAATACACAAACTGGATTGCCCGTATATCATTTTGGTTGAATTTAAAACCTTTATGCATAACAACACCTGAACCGAGAATGTATTCTCGATTTTTTCGAAATATATTTATGCGTACACTATTAATAATATATTTTGACATAAAAACGAGGTCAAATAATACCACTAATCCACCCGTATAGAATACACTCGTATTATAATTTATTATTAATTGATTTTTCTCGAATTTAAATATCAATTATTTTTTGTCGGTTGATAACCACGTACCACCAATATTAATTTGCCCGTGATACGTTTACAATAAAAAGGGAATTTTTCCAACAAACAATTATATCATTCGTTCGAAATTAAATAGTTACGTGGAAAAAATTATAGGTACCTATACTTATGATATTAATTTATTCAGGGTCGTGATCGAGCTCAAGACTTAGCCACAACATCCAGGCATGGACAACAGCCATTACCAGCAGGCACAAAGACCAAAGATGCACTGCCAGTAGTATTACAAAGCGATTTTCGAAAAGTATATAATCGAATTTAAATTATGCACATAAAAATCATTTTGATAAAATGTCCGGTTTTTTTTCAGTTGAGCGGCATTAGCAAAGAAGATTTTCGACTAATCGACACCATTGAAAATGAGTACGATGCTACTACAGCAGCAGCACTCGATGCGGTGCAACGCAGAGGCGAAATGGTCGTCCGAATACTGGATCCTCGAATTCATCTCACTAAAACTGCTTCAGATGCGGCGAAAAAATTCCTTATGCTTCAAGTGAGTAGTTTAAAGACACGTCTGTAAATCAGGTTTGCGCTAAAGTATGCTGCGGTTCTATACAAAATGTGCAATCCTCAATGAGATATTGTGTAGTATAAAAAAACGTAATAAATCATTTTCGTCAGTAGTTACAAGAAATATGGCTAAAACGCATACAAAATATTTTAATGATGCGTGTTCCCTGATGATCCAAATAAAAATAACCAATGTGAAAATAACATTATGAATACACAATTGTGGTAAAGTCATCATAAAAAAAAAATGATTTATTATATAATCAAGCTGAGAAAACCCTGAGATCCCCAGAAACCACCACACCCTCCCCTCAAGATGTTTAAAATAAAAAAATGTTTAGCAAAATTACAAAAATAGAGAATCGGTTATAAACAAATATTGGCCCCCTCAAATTTTTCCCCAACAATGACTTTGAAACAAGCATGTGCAGTTCTAAAATATTCTTAGCGCAGGCTTTGCTATACATATTATACACAGTACAATATAATAATGTATAAATACAAATATTTTTTTAATGTATATAGGATTCTAATCACATAGTAAATCTTGTTGAAATAATAAAGAGACCCGGTCAAACTTTAGGGTTATATATTCGAGAAGGTAACGGTATAAATCGGCACGACGGCCTATTCATTTCTAGATTGGCTCTCGAATCGGCCGTATATAACAGCGGATGTATACAGGTACTCATAATATATATATACAGTACGACATAAACCATAGGTTTAATCATCAAATTCAAAGTGCTTATATTTATATTACTATACATAAATGAGTTTATAATTTATTTAGGTTGGTGATGAAGTATTAGCCGTAAATCTAGTAGACGTTACTCGAAAAGCAGTAGATGAAGTCGTGATCATCATGTCGATACCTAGGCGACTGGTACTGGCTTTAAGGCAAACACGGGGGATTCATCGGGCCACGGCCAATGTTTCGTTGGCTTCTGCTATGCCTAGTCATCATCAACCACCAGTTGTCGTAATAAAAAAAGACCTCAGTAGAGAATCGGATGATCAACACGACGACGACGATGACGACATGCATATGAAATCGTATATGACTACAGGGTTCGTAAATGCAGTCATAATTGATAATTATATTTTATAATGTTTGCTGCGTATTTTAAAATTTAACTCTGGAATAAATATAGTTGATGTTTAAATTGTATTTTGTTCAAACCATTTTTGCGTCTAAAAAGTATAAATAATATACATACTAATATAAAATATTTTATGGGTTTTAAATTGTATAGAAGAGTGAATCAAAGAAATAAAGAAAACATGCACGAACAATGCCGAAGGGAGTCTAGGGGAAGATCACAATCTCAACTTGCTTTGGATTCTAATGGTGATATTTCAGGAGATCTTTTTTATAACTCAAGACCTCCAGAATCAAGGAGACAAGCATCTACGGTACCTATATAATATAAAACAAAACAATTTTTAACATTCCTAAAATACAATTTAATTTAATACGTAAAATTTTTAGTTGGATCGCCGTAATAATTGGTCCTATCAGCCTCCACATACTCCAGTTTCTAATGAACAACCAAAATCTCAGCATTTTCAGGCTTTTGATAAAGCATATCCTAAAACTTTAGAATCATTAGCTGAAAAAGTGCATCCATTCTGTCCAGGTGGACAATCTTCGACTGGTAGGAGAATGTCAGCAACAACTACACAACAACAATATCGACGTAACAACATTCCAAGATCTGGTTCAGATCAATATCTACCAAGATCTGAGTATGATTATGGAAACAGTGAGTTAAAAAAAAAATATTACAACATTATGCTCAAATTTTTTTCCCATTAAGTACAACTTATGGTAACCATGTGTCAAATTTTTGAGTATTTTCACTGAGTCAAACAATATATAATCACATTAATACATTAGTATACAAACTGCCGTGTTATTTTTATTTTTATTAAAATTTGAACTTAAAACGCTTAAAAAAAAAATTCCTTACTACAGATTTTTAAGAATTTTGCTAGGCTAAATTCGTTTAACCCAATAAAATTTAAAATTGTATCGAAAAACGAAATAAACAAAAGAAATAAAAAATGCCACTGTCTATTATTGCGTAAATATGTATGTTTATTAAAAAAACTATTAGGAAAATTAAAAAAATTACATTAATTTACAAACTAGACAAAATGTTCTACAAAAAAGCTCTTTTGAAATCTTTTGGCAAAGATTTCTGATAGAACTTCTGGTAGATTTCTTAACAGACACAAAAAAGCATACAACATAGTAAAACCAATGCATTTTTCGCTATATATAAATATACACTTAGATCTAAAAAAAGAAAAAATAATTTTATATTCTAACGTTACACATTACTTTAAAATTAACACTTTTTTAGGACCATATCGACAATCGCAAACCCTAATGAGATCAGGACTTAGAAGTAGTGTGGGAACAGGATCTAGTACGCGTATAGTTTCACAATACTCGCAAGGTACTTCTAGAACTTTACCAAGACACCTAGATTATGCGTCAGATACAGAAGCGACAAAAGTAACGTCTACATCTCCATATTACTATAGAGGATCGTCACAAATATCAGGTTACAATTTAATATATATATACACATTATAAAATAATAATGATTTATTATTCTTCATTATTTTTTATTATCTGTAGGAGTATCAAATATGTCACGATTAGGTAATGCCACGATATCTAGAAGTAATTCATTAAGGTCGAATTCACTTCCAAGAGATATACGTACACCACGAACGCCACTCTCGTCGCTCAATACAAGGTGTGCAAAGTTGTACAATGTATAATTAATAGTTTTTCATAATATACTATCAATATTTAATTATTATTTATTATGTATTGTGTATATAACAGTATGAGAGGTAGTTTAAGACGATACAATACACAGGACAATCCGAAAATATCGTCTTCCCTACTGAGTGATCACGAAGACAGCGACGGTGGTAATCTTAGTGCTCCCGAGTTTCAAATGCGACGTAAAAATCGATTAGTCAGCTCTCCGAGTGTATTTACAGCTGACGAATATAGAGCATGGATGAGCCGAGCACCATCAACCAGTGCTATTTATGATCGCATACGTAATGTTTGTGACCCGTCTTTAAAACAACAAAAAGTACAACGGTTTACGTTTAGCGCTGAAAACCTACCCGAAAGAACTAGACACTCGGAATTAATGAATTATTCTGGAACCAATACAGATCTAAGACCATTTAGAGGTCTTGGATCCCCAGCACTACCTTCAGCCACAACGTCAACGTTAGATAGGCATACTAGAACGTCTTCATTAAGAAGAATTCGACATCTCTTAGAGCTCGAAGCTAAACATTTAGGACGACGCAATCCATCGTCCAATTCAGATTTACAGGCTGACAGAGCTAGAGTGTTGGAAATAAATCCAGCCGGTAAAGTTTTAATACATAATAATGGGTTAAAAGTAATTTTTAACTAATAAACTATTTTTCTTATAAATAGAATTTTTAAAGTATAAATTTGAAAAATCAACAATAGACAATGCGCCGCCTATAAGTGGTTTATTATGGGTTCATCTGTTAGCTGGTAGAGGTCTCAGAGCAGCTACCACTACTGTATTACCGGGTCAACCTACTGCAAATGGTATGACGAATACTATAGGGCAATTTAAATTAAAATATGACTAACTGAAAATATTTTCAACAGTTATGGCTGCCGCTGGTAGTTCCAGAGACTTGTACTGCGTCTTAGAATGTGATCGCGTGCACAAAGCCAGAACTGTAGTACGTACTGGAGATCTTGTTTTCGATTGGGATGAAACATTCGAATTGGATCTTCTGTCAAATAAAGAATTAGACTTTTTGATTTACTCTTGGGACCAACAATACAGACACAAACTCTGCTACAAAGGATCGGTACATTTGGCGTCGTTAGTTAGAGATAGTCCCGTACATCAATTAGCCTTAAAAATTGAACCTCGGGGGACATTATATTTACGACTAAGACACACCGATCCTTACCAAACTTTCGTAAGGAAAACATTAAGAACTTCGTCTACACTTCCGCCGAGAACAAAATCTGCTGGACTTTTTGGTATATATATATATATATATGTATATTATATTTAATATAAATAATGTTGACCTTATGGATATGATTTAAAAATTGAAATTCGTAAATCGTTTATATATAAAAAAAAAAAATAGGTATTGATCTCGAGTCAGTAGTCACACGTGAAAGTGGTGCGATTTCTAGTTCCTTATCTTCATTAGCACAAGCCCCGGCAACAGCTTCTGTTCCAGTAATCGTTCGAAGGTGCATCGAAGAAGTCGAACGTAGAGGTTTAGATATTATTGGCCTTTACAGACTTTGTGGTTCTGCTTCTAAGAAGCGGATTCTTCGAGAAGCTTTCGAGCGCAATCCAAGAACTGTGGATTTATCACCTGATAACGTTCCCGATATTAACGTAATTACAGGTAATGGACGCAATATATTTATTCGTTAACTATAAATATCTAAATAATAATATTAATACTAATTTTCAACTGTAGGTGTTTTAAAAGACTATTTGAGAGAACTGCCTGAACCACTTTTCACACGTTGTTTATACCAAATGCTTCTTGACGCATTATCTGTACTGCTCCCTGACGATCCACAGGCCAACGCCAAATTAATGTTATCAATTTTAGATTGCCTACCGAAATTGAACAGAGTATGTTATTTTTATTAATTCGTATAATAAAAATACATTTTAATTTTTTTGTTCATAGGCAACTTTGACTTATATCATGGATCATCTGGCACTGGTCGTGTCACAGTCGCCCCGGAATAAGATGTCTGCACAAAATCTATCTATATGCCTAGCTCCCGTGTTAATGGTTCAAAGTGAAGCGAAAGAAAAACCTATTGATTTCCAACAACCCGTGAACGTGTTGCGATATTTGTTAGAAATTTGGCCGACTAAATCAGGTTAGGACAAGTTTAAATGCACGTACTATTGTCTAGTACACAATTATAATTGCACAATTACACCTATTGTATTAGAATAACTTTTCCTTCCTACTCACTTTTATGACTTTATCCCACACGCAGCTTATGCTCACCCTGCGGCTCCGCCGCTCCGGCACATCTCCGTATATCCATATAAGAAACGGTGACGAACTGATGGATACATCACCGTTTTCCATCAGCTTTGCATGCCAGCATATAACTCTCCTAAACAAATTTTGTCATTTTTTTTCTATCTCTTCCTCAGCACCCGTCTATGCATTTATAACTCGTCTATTTTTTCGGCCATTATCGTTTATCGTTTTCCATTCTCTCATCATTGTCTCAATTTATATCACCTCTCATTATTTTCAATGACGCGACGATTACAAAATGTCAAATGTGGGCGCATTGTGTACATTGATGAGCCCTGACCATATTTTCCAGACAGTTCGGGAGTGTTTGCCACCCTCGGTCGTCAACGGCGTTACTCGGCCCCCGCCGCTGCCCGCGAAACCGTCCTGCGTGCCCGCTGTGCCAACAAGACGAGGACCGCCGCCACCCGTCATAGTGGCGTCACCGACCAGTGACACGGCTACGACTTCTGATGAAGACGGCGGTGGCGGTGGTGGTGACAACGTTATGTCGGCTACGGCGAAGGTGGCAATCGAACCGCCTCAGATACCAGCCAGGTCTAACGCGCACAGGTTGACCAAAGTGAACGCATCACCGGAACCCGAAGAGAACGCGGCCGATACGCCGAGCTCGTCTACGGGCACGGAAGACTCACAGCGGGACGTGGCCGAACGCGCCGCGGAGGCAGACGAAGAGAGTGGAGGTGAAGAACAATTGGAACGGAGACCGCGAGGACTGCTACAGAACGCTAACCATCATCACAAGCACAACAACAATCCTACTGCTACCACCAATTCGATTATAAATGCTCGTAATAACAACAACAACAACAACAAAAACTAATAATGTCGCGAAATGTAATATTATAATATTTAAAGAAAATGTGTTTGCTGACTTTCTACCGAAATTTTAGTACAACAATCTAATATTAGGTACACACAAAAGGTAGGTAGTGTAGGACGTAGTTACTTGAGTAAACGGTAAGTATACAAAACGTAACTACAGGATTTGATAATTTCCTGTGCGATTACTTGATATAGGAAATTGTAAAATACACTCTGTATAGCAAGAATCCACGTTAAAATTTCGCGAGTAGAAAATGTCACAGATAGCGAAACGCGATGTATTTGGACAGGCGAAAATCGTTGAAATTGCGCGACTATAGTGTCGACATGACGCGATATAAATATATTATTATTATTTAGTATCTATTATAGTATCTTTTTGAATATTCAAAAATTCCATTCGAAAATAAGGAGATATTCAGCACTTACAGTGATGTATGCAACGTGTAAAATTAATTAAAATTTGTTTGTGATTTTTTTATAAAGAATTTGTAAGCAGGTGCGTAAAATATTTTCCATTATTTATGGCCCGCTATTGTGCAGTAAACCACAACAATTTTAATAAAAATTTCCTCTGAAACTTTCAATATTATAGGTATGTTGAAGGTAATACAATATGACAATAAATTATCATGTTTATAAATTACAATATATTATAACATAGGCGAGGGTAAATTATAAAATATAATGTTATTATCTATAATATAGAGTATAAATCATGGCGTTGACATGTTTTTAGTTCTTACTGTTATATTATTATTTCGTTTAAAAACTTTCTGTGACTATACGTTATATAAATACAATTTTCAAAGTATTTTCCTGATCTTTCATTTTTTTTTTTTTAAATATACAAGAGAGGCATACGATATTATATACAAATAAACGGTAGAAATTTGGCAAGCATCATTCGACTTATTAACACTAAAAAAAAAAAAAAATACCTACGCACAAATTTTAAACAATTTAAAAATGTATAAAACTAAAATCAAGCACAAAAAAAAAATTTTTTTATAAAAATCAAATAGACGTGAAAATTGCGCGTCTATAATATATCTAAATTATAAATCCAACTATAATTTCTATAATGTTTGTACAAAATTTAAAAGAGAAAACAATTTGTTTAGTGATGCACCAACAATATTATTAGGTATCATAGATTTAAATTAACGAATAGAAGTTTGCGCGTAATAAAATGTGTAAAAATAATCATAAGAAAACACAATCATGGGAAGCACATTTATTTAACAGGACGATTTTAGGATGATTTTTTTTAAATTCTTAACAAAATGTAAAAAAATTAATTTGTTGTAAATATAATACATGATGGTTGTTCCTACCCTTCGACATTGAACCATATAAAAATCGGTTACAAGATGATATTTTAATTATTATCAATATGTTTTCACCATAACATTATCATTAAAACTTTTATTATACGGATGTGCACAAAAGTGTGTTTTATTGAACACTTTTTTCGTCACATATTTATTGACAAAAGTATTATTTTTTTTTTTTTTATCTGAATACTATTTGGCAAAACTCGTTTAAATAATATGAATTCAAAATAATTATGGTTTTTTTTTTTTTTATTTCCTATTATGTATAACTATATTATTATTTTAAAACCCATAATAAGTAGACAGTAGGTATTTATAGTAAGCATATTATATTTTTATTAAATAAATATTGACTGTTATTTTCGTTATGAAATCATTATTCTTAAAATTAATAAAAAAAAAAAAAATACCTATAGTTAATTTTATCGATAAATCCACATAATTAAAAAAAAAAAAATGTATAAGTACTTGTATTTAATTTTAAAAATGTCAACTATGACGGAGGACAAATTGAACATAAAATTTTTGTAAATGTTATTATGATCTATGTTTTTTTTTTTTTTTTTGGGTGCGCAATCTTGTCATAAATTTGTTTTAATTTCCAATCAATCGTATTAACGCTTTAAACAACTATATTGAATATCATAACTAAAAGTATAATTGTTAAACCAATAATTGTTATTTTCAAATAAATGAAAATAAAATGTTTATATATAGGTATAATAAATATTTATTGTACTTCATAAAACCGTATCTTAAACACTAATATTTTTAAATATTTCAATCTATCAAAAAAAACGCATTCCTACAGACTCTTGTTCTCAAATTTACTTAAGTTTCGCCATCAATTAATTTTTCGATTGTGGAAATTTGAAATTAAAAAAAAAAAAATAAATTCAAGTTATTATTGAATAAATGTATATTTCCCGAATCATCATAAAATTGTGATTCTACTTATTCCACTTACTTCAATAATATTGTATTTTTGTGTTCCGAGTTATTATTAGTATATATTGGTCTGCACAAAGAGTGTGTTCATTAGAATTAATTATTTGGTTTGTAAATTACACAATAAGCAAACACAGGAAATCTGATAAATACCGAGCATAACGTTATAATTTCTTCAATTATAAATTCGAGGCTATATTATAACTAATAAATAATAATAAGATGAAATGTATATTCATTTAAAATTTGTTAAGTATTGCAATTTTTTCTGGATGTGTATAATTTATTTATTTCTTTATTTCTTTATTTATTTATTTAGTATCTATAAAATATTATGTTGTCCCGAATATTTATTTTATCTTCACAGTTGTAATATAATTATTATGGTTAATTTAAAGTATAATTATACAAACATAATATAAAGAAGACACCCTGCCCCCCCCCCTTTTACAAAACTGTAATAATGTACCTATACATACCTAAGTGTAACAACCCCTAAAACAACGTTATTAAGCTGATCAAATTAAAAAAAAAAAAAAAGTTTTATAACAAAATTTGTTGATAAAACCTGCGTTCTATAATTTTATTTTGTTTTTTGTTATGTCTTAATAAATGTTATGATTACCTATATCTATATAGTTACAAACAAGTGTACATACAACGATTAGATATTATAAACCTTCCTGTATTCATATAAACAATAGTAATATATAAGTGTTACTTAAATCAATTATTATTATTTGACGATATATCTTTAATTACCTCGTTGATGTATTAGATTATATTTTAAGAAGATGACTGAGAATAAAATGTATCTAATCATAACACACAAAAAGCTGGGCAGTGTAACTATAGTTACTCTATAGTAGCAAATTAATTTACGAGTAATTTACACAGTTACAAAAATTGGTCATTTTCATGTTAGGTATTATTTACCTACATTTCTTACCATTACTAACTATTGTAATTTAATGACTAAAAAAACAGGAAAACCGTTTTACTTCGTTACTAAAATAAATAAACTGCCCAGCTTTGATTCGCATTAATGCACTATGAAAAATTTAACTGATATTATAATTATTAACACATAGATATAGTAACATATTATGTATTTAATTATCAAGCATAATAACTAAATAAGTTATTGTAAATATTAAATACGATAGTTTTTATAAGTTGGGCAACCGAATCGACTGAAATCTATCTGTTTTCTTGTACATACAAATTATCGAGTTGGTAGATTTTAGGTAGGCAGGGGAATTCGTTGTTCTGGTTCCTTAATTATTGCAACCTTACAGACATTCAGCAACATGTTTCTACTGCAGCAGTAATAAATTAAAAATATTTTAAAAACGCATTTATTTATATTGTAAATTATAATAACATGGACTTTGTATAATACAAAATGACACCAACATGTTTTGTATTTAAAGTGAAATATATATGTTATAGTTGACGGTAACTGGTTTGTTATATTGTCCCACAACGAATGAAAAACAATGTTATTATACCCAACCCTCTGGTATACAATAATAATAGTTACCTCAGTGTTGGAAACAGTAGCGCAACCTTAAAATTTAAGATTTTATTACGAATTATACATAATGCATAGGTACGTATTTATATCATCATGACTATGTTTCTAGACGACATACGTCATATATTTATGTACATAACGTGTAGTTGCATAATTTGTATTGAAATATTTAAACCGTTACATGCGTGTATAGTAATTTACTATCCCAAAAACCTATTCAGAAATTGTTTTGAAATTCACAACCTCATCTCCCGAAAAATTTAACCGGGTTGCATCATTGGTTGGAAAAGTTCCTTCCCATTCCTCGTTCCTACGAGTGGCAATCTTAATTCTTTGGGGAAGGGAGATGGTCAACGGGCGAATTTCTTTAAACAATATTTTTTTAGTCTTTTTCTGGTAAACATTTTTAAATCTTCAGGTGTAGTTTGTTACCACGGTAACAAATTTTGTCTAATTGGTCCATTGCAAAGGTAAATTTTGGATTTTCTTAATAATTGAAAAAATACTCGGCAAATGAAAAAATCTAAGCAATAATCGTCTATGTTACTTTAGATTTTGTTTAATTTGTATTATTCAGTTAACAATAATCGATTTTTGAGCTATTTATAGCCATTTTAATTTGGCGAGTGTTTTTAATTAGTACTCGTACATTTGATTTTATGTACACCTGCTTATTTTATTTTTTACTCTATTTATCCTACCTTCCCAACTCCTCACCCATCAATCAGCTGTTTTATTATTATTTAAATTTAAAACGATTATGTACAATCAAGCGACCGTCGCTGGTGTCCCGGTGTAATTTGAACAATAAATGCCGAAGAAACCCAACTAATGTTTGCCCGGTGGCCAATATAGGCATTCAATTTGTGTGTAACACTTGCCGTTCTCATGTAAAATAAATCATTTTCTATTATACACAAATTATTATGAATATAATTGTACTACTGTAGTATAATAACAATAATAATAGTATTGTGTTCGTTTTGGAAATGTTTTTTTTTGTTTCCTATCGCGTTCACTATTTTTTTCTAAACACTTTTCAATAGTTAATAACCATTTGTTATTATTCGTCTAACGTCTACAAACCGGTCCGATTCAGGAGTCGAAAACTCGATCGCAGAGCGTGTGCAGTTGTAGTTGTTGCAGTTGATCGTAGGCTAGAATAGGCGAAGGCGAAGTTCGCCGCCTCGCGTTGCTGCGTATCTGTGTTCAAATACGCGCATCGCTCGTAAAACACAAAGCTAGGCAATAGAAATATAAAAGACGAATACTATAACAGATAATTCACCAACAGTCAATGAGTATAGTAAGAACTAAGCACCGTACAACTGTATTACACAAGGTCGACTATTACGATACTCCATTCAAGATAGGACTGAACCAGTTTCGCGCACGTACAGTCAGGTCCGCCGGCGCCGCGTGTCCGGCCGTCGGGGACGGTCCGTTGGCGAGAATCGCAAAACTCGACGCGTTTCCGTCCACTGAGCGCGTTTAGTCTTACCGTAAGGGTACAGCCGATTGAACTGTAAATATTAAATAGACGCATAGCAGGCACTACCGACCCACATAATGGACAACAGGTGCATAGTTAAATGCAATTATTGCATGCGTTATAGGCGTTTGCGTTTTCCTTTTAATGTTATTTTATTAGATAACAAATGCTTAAAATAACCCGTATTTTCTTTGGAATGTGTATAGGTGTTCAGATTAAATTTAGTCGCACCCATACTGTATACTGAACGCATATAATTATACCGCACATTGCTAGAGACCCGTAGTAAATAATCACAGAAGTATTATAAGGGAATGTGTGTATGTAAATAGCGAGCCCCGATTGGTTGTATTTAAATTGAGAACACGCCAACAGTTTTATGATGACGATGATAACTTAAAATCGTAAAATTAAATACGCTTGTAATTATGAAAACATTTGCACAGAAGACTGAAATTCAGCCAAAACAGAAAAGCCCCACCAAAAAAAAAAAACAAATATTTATTACACTTAACACAGTTCCTATCTGTCATCGAGGAATGCAAATAAGTTTTTATTAGTTTAAGTTTAGAGAAACTTCGTTCACCAGATGCTACTGTAACTGGGACCGTCAACGATATTCTTAGACACATCCGAGTATATCAACTAATTCCATATCTTTTATAAACTGGAATGCCCATTTGGGTGATTCTTTGTCAATTGCAAAAGTGAACTCAAAAGTTTAAGTTCACTATAAAGCTCTGCGGCATTTATATCAGTATTATCTCATTCCGCGGGTGCTCCGTGTGGATCACAAATTATGGTCCGTCGCCCAGTAATGAATTTCTTTATTAATGTATAGGTAAATCGTAATCGTAAATAAGTAAATATTATCAAAAGATAATCGGTGAACCAGTCGCGGCATACATTGTTTTTAAAATGAAACCAGCATGCATCTTCCAATTAAGAATTTCAATTCGTAGCGGCTGGCGGGTATGCGATAAATATGTGACGAGTCCTCGAACACATGTGCATTGCGCATTTGCTCAGTAGAAGTCAGTCCGTTTGAGACTAATGTTGTCTTGAAACAGTTCAAACTTGTACTTCACTCTTCTATGCCGTGGCTCTATCCACAGTATATAATCTAAGTGTAAACTAATCGTACAATTATCTCAACCCAGATGCCGAATCTGAAACGGAATATAAATAATTAAGATTATCCATCAGAAGGCGTGCGAATTCAACATCCTATTTTAAAACAAATATGGCGCAATAGATAATATTATCATGAATTTACGGTATACTGTTTTGGATGTTCATGCAACGCACCGAAAAATACAAACTTGATTTTTATCACTGCATTGATAATTTCCCGTACAGCCGTACAGTTCAGATTAAAAATATATAACCTCAAAAAAGCTTTTATCAAATAATCAAATATGACACCCGAGACTTGACAGATTTAAAATTCATACATTACAATTTATTCAATCGTTAATCCTATCGATACTGTTGTACTTGTTACTATTGAGTCGTTTGAATTAATTTCGAGCTTTCGTGTTGGTTGTTGAGACTATAATGGCTGCTGTATTAGATGACGTTGGTAAGTCCAAAGTGTCAAAGAAGACCGACGAAGAAGTTTTTGAGGACGAACAAGAAGATATTGAAGACGAATCGACAGTTACAAAGAAGAGGAGAAAGCGAAGGAAGAAGAAGGCACAAACAAACGGTAAATTTATAATTTCAATCTATTTATTAATTTTTTTTTTTTTTTACATTTACCTATTTAAACTATATGCAATTTTCAGCTGATGAAACAGAAACAAATGGAAAAGAAGTTTTACAAGAAGAAGAAGTGGCTAGCGGTGTAACCAATATCAATATGGAAGATGAAGTTGAAGGTGATAAAAAAAAATCAAGACGCCGTGTAAAAAAGAAAGAAACCAAAGATAAACAACCAGATTCAAACGAAAAAAAACAAACTGATCCTCCGTCTGTTCCCATACATGAACTGTTTCCAACAAGTAAGTTCCAATTTTTAATATTATTTTATAAATTTTCCTTAAAAATATTATCTTATTCTTATATTCAAACTGAAATCTTTATAGAACTAACATTTTTTTCTCCATCCTTATGTATAATATTCTCATATATTTCCTTAAATCTGAAAATAAAATATATACATTCTAAATAATTACAATAACTCAATTTATTTTTGAGTTCACTCTGTATATTAGTAATTATCTAGTGGTGTGATGGTCATCCGATATGTATGTATTCTATATCATATGATAAGATTTATTTATATGCAGTGATGCAAAAATACATTGTTTTTTTTGTTATACATGTTTCAAATGGTATAAAATAATATAATATATAATGCATTTATGTAGATATATATTTTAATGCAGTAGAATTTTCAATTGGTTTTTTTTTTTTTTTTTGATAACTAACCAATTTATAGATATTCAGTAAACTAATCAAGTTACATTTTTAGTGATTGTCCATACAAATAATAAATAACAATAGTTAAAATATTAAAGTATTAATATGCATTAGCTATTACCTAACTTATAATTTTAAATGTAACACTGCACTGACCAAAATTAATATTTATATAGCAGTACAACAACAACAATAGATACACTGGTTAGATTATTGTGCATTACTGAAAAAAAAAACAATGACCTGTTTGATAGGTGAAAATGAAAACATTCATGATCTTAAATAAGAATAGAATGATAAGCACAAATCAGATTATTACAAAATGTAAGGGAACCGTTTGGCAGAAGAAAATAAAATTGTATACCTTTGTATAACATAATTTTACAGTGTTTAATATAATTTTATTCAAGTAAATTATATATCTTTGGATTACTATTTATATGTTAACACTACAGTGTCCAAAAAACAATATAATTTAACTTTATATAAATCTACTATTTAAATACTTAGAAAGAAAATAGATGTTTTTTAAGTAATGATAATGATATTTATCATCACACATGAAGCAATATATAAATTATTGATTTATACCTTTTTAATAAATCAAAAGACTTTAGATCTTACGTATAAATAATGAAATGGATTTTGTATAAACTTAAAATGTAGTCAGTAAGCACTTAATCTTTTTTATCTTACATTATAAAAATCTTAATTGATGTTATTTAGTAATTGTAAATGAATTTATTATTATTTATATAATTAAGGTGAGTATCCAGTTGGCCAAGAAGTTGAATATGATGGTCGTATGGGGAAACTAAGGATAACAAGTGAAGAGAAAAGAGCAATAGAACGTTCCAAGTATGATGATTACAACGATGCTAGGCGAGCAGCTGAAGCTCATAGACAAGTAACTTACAATAATCTTATTCTGTGTTTTGACTTGAAATATCTACAACAAATTATTTTACTAGGTACGAAAACATATTCAAAACTGGGTAAAACCTGGTATGACTATGATTGAAATCTGTGAAGAGTTAGAACGATGTTCTAGAGCTTTAATTGGAGAAGATGGACTTAAAGCTGGTTTAGCATTTCCAACGGGATGCTCGAGAAATAATTGTGCAGCACATTATACTCCTAATGCGGGTGATCCTACAGTCTTATTGTATGATGATGTTACTAAAATTGATTTTGGCACACATGTTAATGGTAATATTACTCTTGCATTTTATACTTTTTTTTTTTTTTCAATATTTTATACTTTTTTATTTCTATTTTTAGGTAGAATTATAGATTGTGCATTTACTTTGACTTTTAATCCTAAATATGACAAACTAGTAGAAGCAGTGAGAGATGCTACTAACACTGGAATTAAAGTAAATACAAATAATATATTTGAAAAAAAAATGTTTAATCAATTTGATTTATTAGGTTGCTGGAATTGATGTTAAACTTTGTGAAGTTGGTGAAGCTATTCAAGAAGTGATGGAATCTTATGAAGTCGAGCTTGATGGTAAAACATATCCTGTGAAGTCAATTAGAAATCTTAATGGCCATTCAATTGATGCTTACAGTAAGCATTTATAAATTATTGTTGTTTTATTGAAAATTTAATTTTTTATTTGCATTTCCACAGGAATACATGCTGGTAAAACAGTACCAATTGTCAAAGGAGGAGAAGCTACTACGATGGAAGAAGGCGAATTTTATGCGATTGAAACATTTGGTTCTACTGGTCGTGGAATTGTCCGTGATGATATGGATACATCCCATTACATGAAAAATTTTGATGCTTCTTATGTGCCACTTCGTCTTCAAGCATCACAAAAATTGCTTGGTACAATTAATAAAAACTTCGGTACTCTAGCATTTTGTAAACGTTGGCTTGATAGATTAGGTGCTACTAAATATCAAATGGCATTAAAAGACTTATGTGACAAAGGTATTTTATTGTATTATATAATTATTTAATGTGAAAAATTTGTATAAATATTTAATTCTATTGACAATTATTAACATACTATTTATTTATACACAGGTATACTTGATGCATATCCACCATTATGTGATATTAAAGGCTGTTATACAGCACAATTTGAACACACCATTGTGCTTAGACCAACATGTAAGGAAATTATTAGCAAAGGAGATGATTATTAACTCGTTGAAAAAACTTATGAGACAATGTTGCTAATAATATAATAAAAAGATTATTATTTTTTCTGATGTTAACTTTTTGGCGATTAATAAATAATTAAAAAATACATATTATTTATATTGTTATATTATTATAAAGCCTACATATAGCAAATGACTAAACATAACATAGATAATGTAGGTAATTAAAATAGGGTTGTTACTTAATTTATTTTTTCCTTAATATTCCTTACATATTAATTTGACAGTTATTATTGACTTGTCTGTTGTTCATCGTTAGATAACAATGATTTCGCCATGCGTTCGTAATCATCTAAACTGAATTGTGTAATTGAACGGTCAAATTCCTTCATAAATTCTTTCAAAACCTTGACTGTATCTTCTGTGCTATAATGCTCCCGTACATGTTTAGTGACCATTTCTTCTAGTTCTTCAGTTTTAATTACAGGTTGCTGTTTCACAACCAAGTTCAATCTGGTGCCATTTTTAATTTGTGGGTATTCAATTAAGGATTTTTCATCTAAAAATAATTTTAAAAAGAACATGTGGAATATGGGTTTATATTTGTTTTAAGTAAAATTAGATAATTACCACATAAAGGACGACCGGTAAGCAATAATCTTTGATCTTTAACAGGAATCTTAAATACTTCATATGCATGAGTTTTAAGCTCTGCTACTGTCATCTCATTAGGTACCTAAAAATTAATTTTCGCATTAAAATGCAATTTCAAAAATTAACCGATTCAGAATTTGTACCTAATTAGCAATTCATATATACTGAAATTTATAGATGAATTTTTGGTAATATAATTTACTTAAATAAATTTACGGCACTATATCGGTATTTGGATTAATAATTTATTTTATTTTTATGAACCCCATAGATTTTTGATAAATCCTATAACTGCTTGATTTAGTATTAGGAATAATTTGATTACAAACTCATAAAAATAGTATAATAAAGACAATTATTTATTATTTTATTTTAAATATTACTTAAATTCCACGTATCAAGTAAACAGTATAAAAAAATTAATATTTATTACTTATTAATAATTTATAAATCATTGTAATTATTAGTAAATAATATATTTTATATATCAAAAAAAAAAAAAAACAAGTAAATTAGTAAACTATAATAATATTAATCATATAAAAATTTGTTTTGAAGCAAGCATGTCCGCAAATGGTTTTACTAGTCCTCGAGTAGCAAAATAAAATACCAGTCCAAAAGTGATTGATATTGGTAAAGCAGGCAAAGCACGTCTAAATATGGCCAATAATAAAAGTGTCAAGCACAATCCAATAAGTATAGCCACAAAGCATGCTAATGTGGTATTCCAGTCTCCGTAAGACGATGCTTTGCCCACCAAAACACTGTAGAATATGAAATCACCTAATCCGAGTTTGACACCTTTTTCATCTTGATCCATTATTCTTCTACATACTTTAATTTCTTCAAGCGGGGGCTGTTGGCGTTGATGTTCTTCCACCCATGTCCTAGTAAATCCATTTTGACTGTCTGTGGTACTATCAACACTATCTGAACGGTTTATCATGTACACAACTGTAGAAGAATAAATCAGTGCAGGAAATATTTGTTCATTTCGCTCTTCCGCTAACTCAACTAAAATACGTAAAGGACCTCGTGGAGTGAGTACAGCAACTAAGTCCCAAATAGATATGACAAATAGTACGACCCAAGTGGTCCACTCGGGCATATATTTTATAAATACAAGTGCCATAAGAGCAGCAATAAAAATCAGATAAGATTGTTGAAGTCTCAACGGGCCTTTCCAATGTATACACACCATACCCAACATACCGACATTCCATATTATCAGAAAAAATGTTATATAATCCATGGGAATATTATATGTGTATAAAATCTCTTCAATGTACAGACAAGTGAACATGGACAGGAGTGTCAACGATGACATGATAAGCCATCCGTGTATCAATTTGTAACAACGATATTTGTATAATCCAATTAAGAAAACAGTCATTATAATAACAACAGTTATCAAAATACCCGCATTGGCTACAGCATTTAGTGCTTTGGTGGATGCCTCTGGACTGGTCTCGTGAAATGGTGTGTACAATAAATACATATCTTTTACATTGTAAAAGCTCACTGAATTGATCGTGGCCACTACTACCAACATGCACATGGACACAGGTACGAAGAGTTTAATGACATGTTCAGCGCCATATTTAAGGGTTTCTTCTTCTTGAGCAGTCAATGAGTCACGATGTGACGGGTTATTCCTTGGTGATGCCATTAGTGGTACTGTTTCTCTGGGACTTGGCGTTTCGTCGTTCTCACGCATCAATAATACACACACGGGAAGAAATCAAATGTAAACCCAAAGTGTAACACACAAATCTAATAGGAAAGTTTGTACTTCTTCTAAAATTTAACAAAATTATGAATCGTTAAAAAGCGCCTATACTCACATCGAATTCACATTCCTGTCCGTTAAGCATCTTGATATTGATTTTCATTGTTTTCAGGAACGTAAAACTATCACTGCATTTAAACTGCAAAACGGAAATGTTATTGATAATGTCACCGGTCTCAATGAACTGCCATATTAATTGGTAATTCGTATTTCTTATTGCCTAATAAATAAAAATACAAATGCAGGGAAACAAGGATACAATTATTAATTTTAAGATTATTAGAAATTGAAATGAAATAGAATAATAGCCGTCAACTTAGTATGATAGTGTAAAATGTAAATGTAGAAAAAATCAATAATCACAGATGGACGGCGGATGTAGTAGTTGAATGAAAACATTTTTACATAGCAAGGAGTTTAGACGAATTCAAAGATAACAAAATAAACAGCGGGAAATTTAAATAATTTTATGTTGGATAACTGGGTTAAAATAAGACATCAGTGAATGTCACCATACTAATAAATGTCATTAGTTAATACGATCAAGCTACAAAACCAGTATAAATAAGCAATAATTATAGGCATAGACATAATAATAAAATGTATTATTAATTTATTAATATGTCTATATCACTTTTAGACAGTAGATCGAACCATTTATGAATGATTATTGAAAATACAAATTTGTTTGTCACATAGGTACAAAAGTGTAGAAATTATAGAGGAACACAATTAATTATCCCATATATTTATAGTCTGAGATAGTTTAGGCATGTTATGAGGAGAGAGGAATCAAAAACAGTAAAAATTCTTTTGAAAATAGACGTAGTCACGTAGGAGGAAAAAGGGAGAGAATAATATCGAAAAAGTGATGGTTGCCGGTCGAATACCTAATGAGAATTATATGTGGACGGCGAGTGTATGCGAGAATGATGTAGGGGATCTCGTCTAGTGAAAGTTCAGGATGAAGGTGGCCGACTTCAAATAGTTGGAATTAAGACGAAGAATATCAGATATCAGTTATGTACAGAATAACATACCTACCTATCTAGCAGTTTATTCAAGATCAAAGTATCAAATATAAGACTGCTGATTTGTTTTCAGAATTTTATAATATTTTATATTATATAAAGTGGTAGGTATATAAACTTTATATACCTACCACTTTAAAGTTTAAGTTTTTATTATAAACTGCTGTCTCTACTCTAAGTATTATTTTGATATTAGGTAAGTTTGTTCGTTATTGGTTACACTATAATAAATTATATATAGATATGCAGTTACTTAATATTATAGTATTTTATTTCATCATTTCAATACCCATGATATTAAATAGGTAAGTACCTAGGTACCTAGTTTGAAAAAATTTGTAAAAATTGGAAATTTTGTTTACATTTTATTGATAAGACTTGTTCACCAATTTACTGTACAATAGGTACCCATTTAATGGGAAAGAATATGGGAGTTTTAATGATGATAAGGTATAATGTTAAACATAGGTAAAGCAAGACGAAAAATCGGTGTTACAATTTCATTATTTTAAAATTTTATCCTCTATGTTTCTACCAGAAATGTTAATAAAAAACGACAAGAGATCAATGTTGTTGCATTTTTAATCCAGTTAATGAGTAAGAATAATTTATTGAGCAAAACAAAAAAAAAAAAGACGTAAATAGAAGGGAAACATTTACGAAAATAATGCTTTTATTAGGTATCAGTTTAAATTTCGTTTATTTTTGTTGTAATTCAGTTAAAAATGTTTGTAGACTTGAAATTTTGATAGAAAACTTCCATTTGCTTTTTCTAGATGTGGTCAAATTTTCAAGCCATTTTTGAGCTATTTGTATTAAATTATAATATATTATACTAATTTTGTGAGATTTTACTTCCCTCAGAATCGTTTTTTCATTAACAATGGTTTATTGTTGTTTTCAGATAGGTGTACCTAATTAAATAATGTTATGTATCCTACCTTCTCAAATTTTTTAAAATACCTATTTCTTCTATTCATTTTCCAGGTTTTTTTACTTTTTTTAGTGTGGAAATCCATATATATTTGAATATTGACAATTTTTATTATATTGTAGCATATTTTGTATTCAGTTATTTCATATCTCTATAAAAGCTTCATTGCATTAGCACTTTTTAATTATATAAACTAATTATTACCTAAGTGTTTTCCAAAATTAATATAATATATCTAATATAGGTTATTATGAAACTAATAATTCCTTAATTAAATTAAACATTTATTATTGGTATTTATTTAATGAGAAATATTTATATTTATAAAAGTAAGTAAGTATTTATAAGTAAGTAAAATCTTGTTTACAAAAAAAATATGAAATATTGAAGAAATTATCAACTTCCATTTTATGACGAATTTGATTGGTCATTACATTTTCCCAACTGACCACATTGATACATTAGTGACAAATGTGGATGTATCATCAATGGCCCATATTCACCATTTGCCTGCATACAAATAAATATATTAAATTTACATAATAACTATTATAATTAATATATAAGCAAGTAGATAGGTAGATACCTAGGTAGTTAGCACGTATAGATTTGTCTAGATTAGGCACCAAAATAAATGCCATACATATCATTCAAAACATTAATTATGCAAACATAAATTAGGTATAGTATTAGAGAAACTTAAGTCAATAAGCTATGATTCTCTAAATAATTTATTTCTAAATATTAACAATTATTATACCACTTATATAACAATATAAAAACAATCATATACCTACATGTACACATTCATTTATTTATTTATATTTAATGAGTGAGAACATTTTAAATTATTATAGGTAATATAGATACTTAAAACCTAGCTATTTATGAAAAAAAAAAAAACAATTATTTCCTAGCTAACATAATATATATATATATGCATACATAAAAAAAAATAATTACAATTAAATTAATCGACTGCATGTAAACAAAGAAGTTCAAACTGTTCAATATTTATTTAAATGTTTATAAACAGAACATTTTTTGGAAAAGAAACAAAATAAAAAAGGTTTTATTTACATACCTGTTTTTCATAAATTTGTTTTTCCTCTTCAGACATGTTGTCCCAACTATCTGAAACAATTTTACGGACAAAGTCAGCGGGTAGTCCTGGCTGTGTCCAATGATATAAGTTTACAGTTTTTTTCACATAAATCCTTTTTGCTTCACTTTGAGTCCAGTTAGATTGATGTGGCCTTTTATAAGGTCTATTCGTCTGTGGCTGAAAATAAGAACGTGGTAAGCAAACTTAGACATAGGAAAATGATTAAGTAACCATTTAAATAAAGTAAAATAATGTAAAATTCACAATGAACAAGTATATGTAATGGTAAGTATTTCCATTCAAAATTTATTTTAAAACCTGATACATTTTTCATATTTACTACAGAGTTTTTTTTATCACATTATTAATTTCCAAGAGAAAACAATTAATTCTTCAGAAAAGGTAGGTAATAACTACATCATTGAAAGTAGGTAAATAAGTCAATAGTACAACCTAGGTCATTTTAACAAAAAGGTCAACTTACTTTACGTATGTTGGGTTTGACAGGAAAATTGGCAAACGCAATAGAACCAGGAACAAAATTATCTGGCAGGTAAAAATGAACCGGGTCTTCAGACTTTTTATATGGCAAAAGATTGTGTAGCTGTTCGGGAGTCATATTGGGTGTTGGGTGAGTCTATGAATGGTAAAAATAATTTAAACTATCATTAATACAAAATAAATAGGTACTTAGATTATAATATATTATACAATTATTACCATTTTTGTATTCATAGTTTTTAAAATATCAAACTTAACAATAAAGTGGAGCAAGTCCCAAGCATATAAATTGCCAATAAAAATTTCAAAGTACTATAATTCAATAAGTAGAAAACTGCTCAAATTATAGATTTTTCTATTAAAATTATTTTGTTTTATTTTATCATTCTATTAATTAATAGTGTAAATATAAAAGCCATAGAAATCACATAATATTTTGTTTTACCAAAGATTCTGTTTCACCATTAAGAAATATAAGTTCCCTTTGATTTTTTTTCATAGATTTCAGAGGTACCTCTTAAAGATGGGTTTACAGGTAACAATTTATTGTACATTTTATCAGACATGTAAAATAGACAATAAAACATACATTAATGAGTGTCTATACGTTCTGTTTAATACTCAGTTTCAGCAATATTATGCTTCACTTTAATTCAATAATTTGAATTAATTTCAATTTTTTTAGGGATTTCAAAGATATAGAAATAAAATTTAATTTATTTTAACATTTAAAGTAAAAAGTATTCTATAAGATATGTTAGATACCTATACTGATTTGGTATTTCATTTATTTATTTATTAAAAATTCAACGGACAAATATCCTTTAACATTAAATGTAGACAACAGGAAATACCTAAGACTAATGAAAAATTACAAGATTACATAAAATATAATAAATTTCTATGAAATTAATAATAAAAATAAAAGAATGAATGCGTTGCCGGAGTATTATGATACGTGTATTATACAACTGGTTTTGAATTAAAAATTCATCATCAGGTATATCACAGTCAAAATGTAAAACATGACTGAATTTAATGAATTAAATGAAGAAATACAAAGAAAAAAATTATACAAATTGGTTGTTCTACATAGAAATAATTTATTTTAATAGGAGAGATTATTTAAAATGTATTATTATTAGACATAGATTTAATAAAAATACAAATTATTTGGTTATTATTTATTATCTAAAATGTATTGATATGATATTATTTATAAAATTGGTTTGTGCATTTAAAAAATTATTAGAATTATTTATCTTTATTTCATTGTAAATATAATTCTTCTAAAACTGAATTAGCTAATGTAAATGCTATTTTGGGTATTTAATATTTCTAATTCTTTAATATTAAAGTTTAAATTATGGTTATTTTCTAAAACATTATAGAGAAATTTGTATTATGTGCAGTCTATTTTAATTTTATTTTAGAAATATGTTCTTTATATCTTATTTTAAAATTTCTATTTGTCTTACCTATACACAATTTATTACAGTTACATTTAAGTTTATATATACCAGCATTTTTAAAAGAAATACATTTTTAAGATTAGTAAATAAAATTCATTTTAAAACATTATATAAATCAATGACTAATTAACAGATTTCGAGATCAATAAAATTGATAGATAAATACCTAATTAATTAAAGTTAAAACATTAGTTTTGAAAAATAAGCAAGACATTTAAAAAAATCAAGTGTTGTAGAAATAGAATTAGCTAAAAGAAGAACTCTTAGGGAGAAATTAGTTTGTACCAATGTTTGTTTATAAAATGGAGAGATAAATAAATTTGTATTACGAGTGTATTTACGAGAAATCCAGAGATTAATTAGGGCTAAGAACTCATGGCAGATAACGAAACTGTTTAAGATATCAAAAATGAATATAATATCAGCTAATTTACGCCTTATAACAAGATAATCAACTTCTAAAGATTCTTGATAGGATATTAAGGAATATTTAGATAAAGAAAAATCTGAAACATGGGCTATTCTTTTTAATAATTATATTGGAAATTGTCTAAATCACTATTTTAAGTTGAATAATCATGTGACTAGATAAAAGAGTCAAATATTAAAGTAATATCGTTTTTAAGAAGGTAATATTTCTAAAATTATTTCTATTAATAAAACCAAGCATTTTGTAAAACTTAATAACAATTGTTTTATAATTTATTTAAAATCTAAAGTTATTTTAAAAAATATTCCTAGATTTTTAATAGAGTTGACATTTAATAGTGGAATATCATTGATATGATATTGAAAAATGGAGGAATTAATTTTACAGGTAAAGGATATTACTTTGCATTTATTGATATTATTAAGAGAGTGGTTATTTGTGTTTAGACAATATACATTAATTTGCTATGGGACAATGGAATAAAAACTAAGACAAGCATCCAATCTTAATTTGTCTAACCATTCTAGTACTGAGATTAGATCTGAAAGAAAATTTCAAGTGATTTGCCACAATTTCAGAACAAAAACAGACAACTTCAGTTTACTTATTTTAAAAATTAAATGTTATTATTTTAACAAAACAATACCTACTTGAATAATAAATTAAATATACAATTTAAAAATAAAATATATATTAACAATAAAACAATTACTATCATTGATAAAAAAAATTATCGAATATTTCACTAAAAATATACATATATTTTTTTTTTTTAAATACATAATATTTGAACACAATTTATAAAATTTAACTCTATAAAATACAATATTATAATAAATAAGTAAAAACAATAATAATAATAATAATAATAATAATGATATAAGTATTAAACTATTTAATCATAAATGTTTTATTAAAAAAAACTTAAATTTTGGTCTAGAGCATTGATTGATGTTAAAAAACAGGTTATTATTTATGAATTTCTGATAATTGACCTTTTACAAATCTTGATTTGTCTTTAAAAATAATTTCAACAACATTTAATAAACTATAGTTTTTCCAATCACTTTTATAAACAGTACTATTTGTATTTTATATACACTCCATAACCTAAAAAAATAATATAATTAAAACTAAATAATTGCTATACACACACATATATATGTGTTACCAAAAATAAACCTAAAATTCATCATAACTAGTTTAAAAATGTCAAAATTAGTTTCTAAAAACCCTTTTTTGGTAAAAATGGATTTTGACTACTTAAAATTAGAATTAGTACATTCAATGAAGAAACTAACTTTAACTAAAATTTTTTAGTCGGAACCAGTTGTGTCTTAAATATATTGTTGAAAATTAGAATTATCTACTGAAAATTAATTTTCAGAAATAATTTTTATATTAGTTTATATTAGGGAAAAGTAAAAATAAGTACCTACCACCTAATATTTTCTGAGATAATGGTTATTGTAGTTGATCATTTTTACTGCATTACAGCAAAAAAGAAAATCGAAAATAATATAAAACTATTATAAAAACCATTTTTCTGACTTATTATCTGGTTATTCCAGATTATTATGAAAACTAACAATAAAATAAAGTTTTTCCTTAGTAAAATTAGAAAAATATTTTTATCAGAAACCACCATTGAATTTGATAATCAGAGAATGTTTCTGGTAAGAAAGTTGTATTTAAAATTACGGTTGTATATTTTAAAAAATGTAACAAATCTAATGATTTATTTGTAATATATTTTATTTATTTATTTGTAATGTAATGTAATTAATAAATCAATTTAAATTTTAAAATAGTGACTAAAAAATATACATAGATGTAGCACCCCAATCAGTTTTCCTTTCAGAAAAAGTGCTATCATTGTTAATCAGAGCAAAATTGCTATGAGAAAAGTTGCTCGCATGAAAAAAAAGGTCATAATATTTGTTTACTTATACCTACATTTCATAAGTACATATTCCCATTTTTTTAAATTTATTGGGAAAACTCTTGGGGAAATCAAAAAATTACCACTCTAAAGTACCACCCTAGAAAAATTACCTTTTAGAAAAGGGGCTATACTTGAGCCAGATTTCTAGTAAAGTTTTTGTACAGTATAAAAAAAAAAATAAACATCTGTAAAACCAGTACATTCTTCACTAAACCTTAGAATCTAAAATTACAAATAAAAATAAAAGTGACAAAAAGTCACTCAATTCAAGTGATTAACTTGTAACCCTGAACTTCATAAATGCTAGAAAAAATAATACTTCTTGTGCATTTAGTACATTTTTAAACTAGATATTTGTTAAATGTCAAATTAATATCTACCCGACTACATTTGAATAAATGCAAATATTTAAAATTTATCTATAAAACAAACTATATAATATAGATAATATAATACCTATATAATTGTATTTACTTTTTATTCAGCTGTAATATCCAACTGCAATGGAGGTATTAATTTCCAAACATGTTGTTTTAATGTTTGGCACTGCAAATTTAACTTGTACTGACCCGGATAAAAGAATACTACTCCACATTCATGATATATGCTATCTTGTTCATTTACCTAAAAAGATAAAATAAAAATATGTAAACAATTTGTACAAACAACTAATATCAATGTCCCTAATTTATCTACTCACTTTAGCTTTATGAGTTTTAGTGGATCCTGTAGTAACTAATCTGTTTCCTAATTGACTGTTTATAGATCCATTTGAATAATCCTGATAAAAATTTAATTCTAATGTAACTTCATCTAGTGGAGACATGAGTGAATTATGCACCCAAATTTGTAATTTCAGTTGCTGACCAACAGGATATTGAGATATTTCTGATGATAGTTTTTCATCACATTCACTGACTATCTTATCGTCATTTAAATTGATTTCTAATGAAGCAAAGTACTATAGATTGAATCTAAAAATATGTATTCAAAAATATTACCCCAATAAATTGGTGAAGTGCAAACAATATCTAACATCTGAGGACATAATGTAAGACCGTGGAGTTTTGCAACACCACATCTGACAGGCAAATCATCACAAGAATTAACTGACCATCTTAATAGAACTTGTTCAGCTATATGTTTATTGCATTGAGATATCATATCAGCTTGCCCTTCTTCGCCAATACTAACCTAAAATTAACATTGGGCTGGCCCATTATAGATGGTTGTTTATTAACAAAATTATTTGATCAAACCTGTTCCAAACTATGAATTAAAAATCGATCAACAGGTACTGGAATTCTATAAGATTCTTTTTCTTCCATTAGTATGCTTTTATTTGCAGTGTATTTTAGTTCCATTTCTTGATTGGTAACATTTACAACATCAAGAACCAAATAAAATTGGTTACCACTAAAATACAAAAATGCTTTATATTCATCAATATTTATACATTTTAGGATTATTTTGTTCTTATTAATATGACTTTAGAAAGAGTTATGATCTTTTATTAATTACAATTGGAAAACACATACTAATAACTCATATAATACTAATCACTCACTCAACAAATTTTAATAACTTTGTTTGGAATCAAGTAGCAGCTTGTTTTTCCTAACTGGGTCATTGGGTTAGACAAAGTGGAATAGACTTTGGTTAATCATGTCTAGAAAGTGCAATTATAAATATTAGGTGAACATTTCTACTTTTACTTCTAATTGAATTTCAACAAAAAAAATGAAATCTTAAACAAAAGAAATCATTATTGCGTAAATTGTATTGTTTTTCACAGTTATTAAGAAAACTACAAGAAAAATGAAAAAAATAACTTCCCTAATGCACTAACAAGACTAGCTCAAGTAAAAATGCTACAGTTGATAATCTAAGCATTACTTTTGGTAATAAATTATTTACACACACAAACACACAGTATAGATATTTAAAACAACACATTCCTTACTATAACCAAAATCTAAAAAAAATAATAATAAAAATCATCACATTAGTATTCAGAGTATTTACAGTATGAACTACATACTCAATAGGGCTAATTACCCCATTGAATGTATGGATACTGCCTAGAGAAACGCAAAATGGAGTTCCAGTAGATACTTAAGCTACCATACTAAGCTAAGATACTCAGATACAAGGTCCCTAGGCAGATGTTTAGTTTGAGAATTAATTTGAAATTAGAAACAAAATAACCAAATGTTGATTTTAGAACTAAGGGAAATAAAAAGTTTAGATGAAGCTAATGTGCAATGAAATGAATTATTTTAAACTGTAAAAAAAATATGCATAGAATATAACAACAGATGAATTATGTATAATAGAATTATTAAATATAAAAGAGGAAAAAGGAAAAATAAGAAAAGGATAATATAATATGCTCATATAAATAAATAGAAGAAATGAAAATAAAATTGAACAAAAGAAAAAAATTATGCTTTTACTACACACACTATCAATGACATATTTTTAAAAATAATATTAAAAAATATTTAAATAGAAACTTACGTTTCTGCCTGTAAAACATCCCATCCAGTTACCAATACAGAATTGAAAATATTCACAGATAAAATACAGGAAATTATTCTGCAATAACCAGCAGCCATACCTTCACCACCAGCATATTTGACTTTAACATTAAACTCAATAATCTAATATAAACAAATATTTGTATATTATTTATTACTTCAAGTGAGTATAAATTATAAGTTAAGTAATACAAATAAAAAATACAACCATAAATGATCATAAAAAAAAGTTGAGTAATTAATATTGTAGATTAAATAGATCAATATTGATTGACTTACATATAAATTATGATAAAGGGCTTTTATTTAATATCAGATTTGTTCTATAGAAAGAACTTTTGTTGTATCTAATTATATTTTGAAAACTTAATAATATTAAATCTTGATAAAATTGTTTAACTTAAAAAAAAATCAATATTTTAAACTTTTAAACATATAAAAAATAATTATAACAATTAACAGATAGCATAGATGTAAAATATCAAAATTAAAAGGACAGCTAAAAAATTGGTATTTCCCTGTCTCTCTACATTATTTAATTGAACTTTTAAACACTAATCTATAATACACTATTTAATAAATGATTTCCACCAAAAGACATACTTAAAAATATAAAATTAAAAATAATAGTTAATATTTTAATTCTTTCAAATAACAAAAACTATTACCATTAGAGATAAAAATGATGAAATACTAAATAACAAAACTGATTGAAAATAAGTGTAAAGCACTAAATGAAATAGTTTGTTTATCAATTAAATAATTATAATGTTTAATTTTACTTTAACCCTGTCTAAATATAATATGATTTTGTAAACTGTTAGAATTATTGAACAAATTCAAAATAAAGTACAAAAAAAAGTAACACCTAATAACTAATAAATTAAATACATTACTTTCAATGAAGTTATGTCAGTTGGGCTTCTATACCTGGAACAATTTGAATTTAAACTGCTTTCTCCTGATCTAAAATACATTGAATAATGTTTTAATAAAAATGAATACGAAAAAAAATATAAAATTAATTTACCGAAATGAAGAGGCAGTCGTGGGAGAAAATCGTTCATTTCTTTGTTTAGGGCTAGGTAATGATGGATATGAACTTGGACCCGATGTAGTTAAACTACTCTTCAAACTATTTAATTCTTTATTAATGAAAATAAACCATTATTAATTTAATTAATTTAATATAATTTAAACTACAAATTTGATTATTATAAAAAATTCTTTAACATTTGTATTGATCAATAGAAAATTAACATTCTTAAATTAAAAAATGTTTACTACAATATACCTGCAAGTGGATATTGGTTGTTAGATAGGAAATTTAATGCACCAGTTAAATGAATATCCAACACAATTTCTGATTCAGGAGTAATTGGTAAATAATGACTTATATTTTCCATATTAACTTGAATGATGTTATTTTTTAATGATTGTTCGATAGTTGATTCAATTGTTATTTCCAAAAGCTCAATAGGGATTGATCCTACATTTGTTATTTTTAGGTTATAATCGACACTGAATAATAACAATAATAAAAAAAATGTATATGTCTATATATATAAGTGTACATAACAATAAAATAATATCATAATAAAACCTTGTAATAGAAAAAACCTAAACCATTTTATACAATTTATTTTTTATAGTAAATATGTAAACAAAAATTAAGTTAATATAAACAAATTAAATAGTGAAGTATAATTTCTCAAGAGATAAATTGTATAATACTATTTTATTTTTATATTAATAAAATTATATTAGTAATATCTAATATTTACTTACCTCTCACCAGCAAATAATGTAACTGAAGATACATTATCATTTTTTGAGTCTACAATTAATGCTTCCATACAAGGCATTGAAGGAATCACTTGTACATTATATGTAGATTCAGGTACATTAGGAATATTTTTAAGGCGACAATTTGATTTTACTCCCAATGTGTGTGTTGAATATCCATTAATTTCAATTTCACCAACTTCTTTAGGTATACCAGTTAATGAGACATTGTGATAATTACTTTCAGGAGGTAAGTTTATAGAGTATGGAATACTTTCAAAAACAGCACCATTAGTTAATAAAAGCTAAAATAAAATGCATTTAAATTCAATATTTATCAAAAATAAAAATATTTTAAAATACTTACAATATTTGCTACTTCTAATTCAAAGTCCAGAGGATTACTAAGTTCTAGTAAAACTTCACAAGGTTCATTTATTACCCAAACATACTCCATTTTATTACTTTTAACATTGTTTTTTTCCATTGATCCAAACTTCAACGGTGTAAATAAAAATGGGCCAAAATCTTCTTTAGCTTTCACTAACTTATGAGGTCTCATGTGAAGTTTTAAATTTTGAACAGAAAAATTCCTAAAATAATCATACTATGTATATTATTATTATTTTTAAAATCAATTTACTTACTCGGGTTGTGGTATATTTAAAAGATTTGCAGGTGGAATTACAAGTCCATTATCCAATATTAGAGGAATAGGAGAACCTTCACACTGTGCAGATAATAAGGACAATTGAGTAGCATAAGTACTTCTTTCTATTTTGTTCATCATCCACCACATGGTTTGTAACAAGAATGTGCAATGTCTTGTTGCTAAACTAGCATTTCCAACTCTCTTTGCAGCCAAAACAATTTCATTAACTACTTGACGTTGTAGTTCAGGCCATCCGATTTGACCTCCTGGTACATAATCATTTGGATCAAGAGATAACTTGTGCCCAGGTAACATTTGCAGTAATAACTGATAACACTGTTCCCATGAAGTATTCGGATTACTTGCAGAAACATATCGTTTAGAAGCCAACCATCGGAAAAATGATGCTTTACGATGAAAGCCAATTTCTGAATAAAGTTCTGCCAATTTCATTAAACGTTGTATCTACACATTCATTAAATATTAATATTTAAATAAAATATTTGTTAATCATTTTTAAATATTTTATACATAAATTTTTAGTTACTTTTTCTTCATCAGTTAGTGTCAAATTTATAGGTAAAACGTTTTGTAAAAAATAATGGACATGTATACAATGATGGTGAACAACAGCTATACGAGCAGCTTTTAAACTCCCTTCAGTAAGTATTACGCCAGCATTTAAATACTATAGAAAATAAATATCTAAATTAGTGTCTTAGTGCATCAGATACGAAAAAACAGAATACAGTGATTAATAAATTATTTTATTATTTCTATTTGTATTGTACTAATTTTATTTGTATAAACTGATTTAATTTTAATAGCAATACGTACATGTTTCAATTATATAATTCACATATACGAACCAGTGCACCTATCTTCCAAAATTGTTGTTCTAAAATTCAATAACATTTATAATATTCCAAACATATTATTAATACCAATAAAATTAAAAATAGTTTTAAAATAAATTATAACTCAATCTATATTCATTTATACATAAAATATATAGTATTTATGGTATAAATAGTTGTATGCCAATCATACAAGATATGTTATTAGCGATTATTGTTGAAATATTTAAAATGCTAGTGCTAAACCTAAATTCTACACATTTTTACGACAAAAACTGTTTTAGAAACACATTTTAATGAAATCAACTGTTTTAAACCATTTTATTATATTGTTAACATAAAAAAAAATCACTATTCCATACAAAAACTGTGTAGATAGATAGATAGATAGATTACAGTAATAAGAATACTGATCAACTGATAATCATTTATTGTACATCAACCACACTCATCTAATAAAATTTGACTGCAACGACCAACACATTTTTGATGTGCAATCAAAATTTAAGAAACTGAGTGTACTATGGCATACAGTTACATTGTAGTTATAATTATTACAAAAAATAAATTATAAATATATGTACATCTATGTATTTGATGTAAAAGATATCATACCACATGTGTTGTTTTCATCTTCCTAATGCATGCCATAGCAAAATTTCGTTAATTAGAACATAAATTATGGTGTTTAATCACAAGTAACAACATTTAAAAAATGAATTAAAACTATTTAAAAAATGTAAAAATTAACATAAGTTATCTTTTTACAAAAAGACTAATAACGTACAGCCGTTGATAATAATATACTTGTCATACAATTTTGTGATTTGTATTTAAACTCCAATGTGTACCCAAAAACGACAATTTACATTCTAAGTAGAACAGAAAAACTATAACAGACTGACAAAAAGAAATCAGATTCTGAATGAATTAAGAAATGCATCGGTTTTACTGTTTTTTTTTTTTTTTTATCATTTAGTTAGAAATAAACAGAGAGATTTTAAACTTTCAGAACATATTTGCACTTTCCAAACATTATATTATTTTTAAGATTTTGTAAATTTCAAATTTTAATGTAAATCTTAAAAATCACAGCATCACAAAATATATTTAACTGAACTTTGTTCTTTGTTTTTTGTTAGCAATGATTTGTCATTAATTGTATAAACATTTAAATTAAATCTCTATATACATCTTACCTTAACTTCCTATTAATAATTAAATAGAATTTAAGGAATACATATTATTATAACCTACCAATTTTTTATTTCACTTCCATAATACTGTATATGATACCTACCAAATAATATAATTAATAATGAATAATAATATAAAAACAAAATTATTAAATGGTTAATACTCGTAAATAAATATATATTTAATAATGAATGTTTTAAAACTTAAGAAAAAAAACTTAGTACTTTGTAAAAATTGATAATTTTAATTTTATTATAAATATTCTTCTATTACAATTTACCTTACTATAGTGTTTAAGAGCTTCTCCATAATTTTTATAAATATCATCAATGTTAAGTAAATTCTGAGGGATTGTAGATCTAATAGCATTGTCATCTAATGAAGCAAATCCTGAATTCGTGGACAATGGCCTGAACCTTTAAAGTAAATATCCAGTTTTATAAATTTCTATTCAAACATTGACAAACAATACACACTTGAATCTAGAATGACGTTCTTGTAGTGAAGCATTTCTTTGAAAATTTGATTTTGTTAGTTGATTTTGGGGTTGCAATATCATCAAAGACGTTGCACATAATCCTTCCAAACAACCTTTTAAAAGAAAATAGTATTTATGTTTATTGTAAATACTTTTTTTTTAATATATCAAAATTACCTCCTAACCAAAGCCAATCGTTACAAGAACGCAATGTATCTATAGCAGTTTGATAACAATTAAGAGCATCATGTAAAAAACCTGTTTGTAAGTTTAAATCAGCTAAATGTTTAGTTATACGTCCCATACAACGTTTCTTATTAGCTCTTGACTCCATGTCTAAACCAATAATATTACGTTTTTCAAATGGAGCAATTAACAATGTGGCTTTATCCAGCTTAAAAAAAATATATTATTTTTTTTTTTAAATAAATAACCTTAAGAATATCAATAAATACTTTTTCTTTTGATTTTTCCAGTCGTTTGGCATCTAATACCCAAAATAATGATGACAAAAATTCATTTAAATGCATCTCAATTGAAGGATTAGGATCATTATCACTAGCATAATACACATCTCTTGATTTAAAATTTGATGGTGTACTTAATTCTGGACAATTTTGGGCATTTACACCAAATATAATACAACGTGAATCATATAAGGTAGATTGATACTTAACTTTTAAACTCTCATGTAATCTACATATTTCATTTAGTTCTATTTGAAGTTTGCATTTAGCTAAAAAAAAAGTATATATATATATTGCATATAATATAAAATTAAAACCATATCAAATAACTATTAAAATACTTACAAACAGTTATAAGACCCAAAAGCCGCCGATGTGTTTGAAAATCACCCCAGTCGTTATTACCAACTGGATAGTCTTTGATATATCTAGCTTGAACACATCGTTCTGTCCCGGCACCGTCAACAACACGCAATTGATTTATCCGACAAATACGTTCAAAAAGTCGGTTAAAATTTTTTGATGATAATTCTTCACCTTATAACAATACAAAAGTGTAAATAACAAAACACAAGTTTCAATAATATAAACAAGTATTATGTACATTATTTTTATTTACCCAAGTGTTTAACCAGTATAAGTAAAGTTCCATGGTCATATACAGTCATCTCATAGTCTGGATGCGACATATTTGGGTCTTGTGTTGGAGTTGACAGTATGGCACTAACAGAAGATCGCATTGAATCCTGAAATTTAGTTGAAAAATGGTAATTCGAAAAGTTTTAAGTACCATCGATGAATCTAAATTCTAATTTTAACACTTGCCTAATTTCAACACCACTTTTAAATGAAAAACAATTGCCGGTAATCACTAAAAAAATGTATTTAAAACAAATTATAATATAATCAAAATCATATCTAATTAATTGATCATGAGATAGGGACCATTTTTACTTCATAAAAATAAATACCCACTAAGTAGGTAGTATATTTTGTTTTAATTTTGAAATAATTATTAGATTAACTTTGAGTCGTCAACTGGCAATGATAACATTAGTATAATATGTTGAATGTTGAACTGTTGACGTGATAGTGTAATACTAATAATTTTGATATTATTGTTTTCGTTAGTGATAAATGATAATATCCTGTGGAGGACCGTCAGCTGTTTGAAAATGGGATTCCCTATCACAAAAATACCAAAATAGCATAGATATGCATTTCAATTTTCAACCCTATTGGTTTATAAACTCGAAGCATCACGTGATGGGGATGGAGAAAAAAGTTTTTGACTCCACGTAGTGTTTACTGTTAACAGATTTTTTGTTATTGTTGTTCGCACTGAAATGTCAATCCGCTTTATCCGTTGTGTAACAAATACTAGTAATCGTAAAACGGCCACTAACAAGTTTCCCCGTACATGATGATCCTTCGTGATGATATCATCCTTAACGATGCTTTGTACCCCCATAAGAATATCTATGATCGGGCTACTGTTCTATTACAGAATCTTCCGTTTCGTTTGCTTAGTAAAATATCTAAAGAAAACTTCGAACCGTTTAATTCCCAAAAAATGAGAGTCCATTACTCGAAACGTTTCCCAAGTATGTGCATGAGCTCAACATTCTACGATGATATAATGAACATCGCCGAAATGCATGTTCATTATTACCGTAAGTATCTATTTTGATAATAATTTTTATGGTAAATAAAGCATGCCATTTTGAACATGTGTTTGACATCAATAAACTATTATAACTAATGTTATTGAATGCTAACTTTTGTACCAGTGCCGTGAATACATTAAATTAATGTAATTATTAGTTATAAATCTTATTTTATTTTAAATATTAATCAATTCATTTAAACAAATTTAAATAATTATTACTGGTCTAAAAAATATACTTAACACAATCACATATTATATTTTTATAGGTCCCTGCCTAAATCATTTTATAAAGAAATTAAATTATGAATAAATACACTATTTTATTTTTAAATGAAAGTTTTTGATAATGTATTATTTAATCATAAAAACAAATGGATAATTTAATTATTTTACATACATTTAATTACTTCATATACTTATCTCATATTCCTAACTTTTTTTTGTATTTACATAAACAAAAAATTGTATATAAAATAATTCAAAACAATTGTTTTAGAGTATAATTTAGCAATTTAATTTCTTAGCAATCTTATTAAAAGTATATGAAAGAATTTAAATTTATATAATATAAAAAGTGTTGTTTCTAACAATTCTATTGTATCCTGTGTCTTACATGGAATATTTTATGACTATTATTTTGAATGTGCTAGTTTAAGAAAATACGTGAAAATATAACAATATAGTCTATGGCATACTGCACATTTACTATGGGTAAATATATCATTGAAAGGATTAATAATAATGGGCACTAATATTCTAGTGATAACTATAGTAAACAATAATATTTTATACATTTATATTTCTATATTCAGCAGATTGGTCAGCTAATAAATTTAATTTTTCTTAAATTAAACTGCTAACCAGTTTGCTTGAGGTGAAATGAACAATTGCATTGTTTTATCTGAAATCCAATATTATATGGATATAAAGTGATAGAAAGTGACCCACAGATTATCAGGTTATGCCATAAAAAAAATACCAAAAATAAGACAGCGTGATTAGTAGGTATACATTTATTATACACTGCCCAATGTAATTAGATTCACACTACGGCCAACAAGATGCCTATAGTACACATACAATGATAATAATTAACTGTAATATACTACTATGATAATTTTATTTTTACATGTACACAGTATACCGGTGAATTTTCAATACAATTTTGATAGTATATGATGTATAGGAGAGCATGGTTAGAGCAGATTTGAATGAAAATTACATTATATTTTATAATATTAGACCTGTAGTTTAGAGGTTTATAAATATTGTATAACTTATTATAACTCCATACATGCAAGAACTTTTACTAACATAAGTAGCCTATCAAACCAAAATTTGGAGAATTTTGTATGATTTGTTCCAAAATAACTGTTAGAATTATGTCTTAGATGTATCAATATTCAATGATAAACATTAGTTAAATTTATTTTATTTTTTAATATTGATTTTTTTGAGAAATTAAAATTTGTATTACTCCCATTAACCATTTGATGGAATAGGCCACTATTGCGCTCAATCCCTCAATTATTCATAATGTTTGCACAGTAGATATACTACTAGGACATTAGGTAACAAAATTTAGGATACGTAAAAATTATTCTAAACTTATGATTTTTGATCTTTGTTTCCAAAAAGTTCTTACCTTAGATCATAGGTTATAGACAGGAATTTAATTTATATCTGTATGCAACGATTAACTATTGCTAACGAAAAACAATTTAGAGCAAAGTTCCATTATACATTTTTTGAAAGACCTTTTCGTCAAAATTTAATATAAAGTTCTTATAAAAAAAATTCTTCATTAAACTCAATTTTATTTTTATTTTTACCACGATGTACAACTTGTAATAAACCACTTGTTTAATTTTCAAGCATTTCTATTTAGTCTAACAATTTTATCTACAGAGTACCTACAAATAAAAATTATACAAAACTTGTAAAATTAAAATGTTTATAAATAACTTTAAAATGACCCAAATGTTTTGAAATTATTACCATGTTTAGAAAAGGCAAATATAAGTTTTATCTCCAAATTTAAGTTTCCGCAAATATTTTTAACTGAATTACAACAAAAATAAAAATTAAAAATAATACATTTCGTAAATTTTCCTGTTTTTTCCAGTTATTATGAAAATAATAATTAAAAATTGTTATCTTAAAATTGCCAAAAAAAATCAAAAAATGATCTCTTTAAAGTTCCAAATAGATAAAATTTTCTTTCAAAAATGGTGCTACACTTGATACAAATTTCTAGTAAAAAGTTGTTCACAGAATAAAAAAAATAAACGTCATTGTAAAACCAATAATTTCTTCGTCTATGTTTCAAATTTAAAATATTTAAATGTACTAAATTTAATTCAAATAACTTTTTTGCTTTCATTATATTTATCTGTCTTAAGAATTAATTAATGTTGTAACTGAACTGCCTGCACCCGTCACAAGCAACGCTATTTTCGGGGCAGCATTAACAATTTAAAATTTCTTGTACTGCTTTTTAAAACTTATTGACAATAAAAATTATTGTTATTATATTAATTTATAAATATAATGGTTTCCGTGATTCATTTTAGTTTTATCATAGTTTTCTTTATTTTCAGTCATTTTTGTTTACAAGTCACAAATACTTGAGTTTTGTTAACTGTTATTATTTTTTGATTTTTCCAAGTTTTTCGCTCTATGAACAAACTGTTTAACAACAATATATACAATTGTTTTTCTTACAAACACAATATTAATTAATTATATTGATAATTAAAATTTAAAAATAAAAATATATATTTTCTATTATCATTACTTAAACAAAGTAATTCAATAGTTTTATTATACTGAGTTATATGCTTACTCCATGGGAATGAAAATAACATTGTAACATTGTAGGTTAAAATCGTGTTAACATGCAAAATATTTTAAATCAGAAAATAAAATTTCTAATTCACATTTTAGATCTAAAAACCATACACATTTTCTAAAAAATAAAGAAAATGACTAAAATCAAAAATTGCAAAATAAAATGAATTAATAACAAAATAATCATTACACAGTAAGCTTTGAAAGACAATACAAAGTGTATTCCAGCCTTAATTATGATTGAAGTGTAACAAATAAGTTATTTTTTTTTTTTTTATGAAATTTGTTTTGATAAGAAAAAACAGAATTGTTTTACACTTAGTACTTAAACAATATCTATTGTTAATATTATTATGAATAACTTAATTGGCACAAGATTTTTGTGCTACACATATGTAGTGAATGTAAAAATAAAGACAGGAACTTACTAATATTTATTTTTAAATTTACAGAATCTCGTTGGTTTGATTTTAGTCAAAAATATTCCGAATCATCTTCCAGCGATTATCCAGTTCCATGGGGTAATTGCTCAGTGTACAAACCAATACAAACAACAAATACATTTGTTCAAAATGTGGATTACAAGTACAATAACAATCAAAAAAAAAATTCTAATAGTCATACAGTTAAAATTCAATTGTCCAAAAAGCTCGTAACTACTCCAGTTCCAACAACCAGTCCTATTGAATTGTGTTCATCATCTAGTTCACCCATAAATGTTAAAGAACCTGAAACACCTATTAAAATTGTGTCTAAAAGTAATCCTGATTTTGAAAAGTCACCTGAAGTGAATAATAATAAAATTTCTAATATTACTGAGAACGAGGACATTAAAAACAGAAGTATTACCTTAGACAATTCTAAGTCTAATGATATTACTGACGAGAAGGCTGTATCCTATGCAGAAATCATGAAATATTCAAAACCAAAACAATATTTACTAATTAAATCTAATATTGTCAAAGAATCTAAAAAAGGAGAACCTAATAAATCCAATAGGATTCCCCCATCTAAAAAAATATCAATCAAGTTCCCAGATGGTCCATATTTACCAAATAATCAACATTGTGCATTTTGTAAAAATAATGGTGAAGACGAAAATCTATATAGAACACATTTTGTTAAGGATGAGTTAGGGAATGTGAAATGTCCACTTTTATCAAGGTACACATGTCCACATTGCAAAGCAACTGGACCTAAAGCACATACTATAAGTCGATGTCCATTAAGTAATAAAAACAGAATAAACAGATTCAATAAACAACAGTGACAAATAAACATCAACTGTTGACATTATTTTTATTGGTTTTATATATTATAAATTTTTTATTTAAATATTATTTGATTCATTTCTTGTTTCTTTTATTTAATTGAACAAAATTTAGTAAAATTAAAATATAACTTTATGTACATAGTTGATGTCTCTTTTTATATATATAAAATATACTTTTAAATTTTATTATAAGTTTACAACTAAAAATATTTAGGACAATTATTTTTTGTTTAATCATCTATTGTTTATAATATGCTTAATGTTAAAATTTATATTATCCATACAATTTAAATTTAAAAATAAGTATCATTATATAGAAATATAATATAAATAACTGTCTATTAAAATGTTTTAAATATATTATGATTTTTCTTTATTTTATCTCTTATTATTTGATTTAAATTTTATGATTCAGTTATTGTACAAAATATTAAATTTATATTTTTAAGCAATATAAGCTCTTATATTTCTTTATTAAATACGTTGTTTAGGGTTATTTATGTATAAGGTAAAAAAAAATTATCTTACCAATATTAAATATTGCTATTGTTAACTTTAATTTATAACATAAGACCATCATTCAATGTATTCAATAGTAATTAAAAATAATTGTTATAAACTAAAGTACACTAGTAATAGTGGTAAAATAAATTGGCTATTCATTTGAAATAACGCTTTTAACTTTGAGAAAAAATTGAATTCAAAATATTTTATATTATATATCAACTTGCCTATTATTTTAAAAGTAATAAATTAATATTAAATTTTGACATGATTATTATTTGTTAGTTTTAAAATTTAGAATTCATAAAATTAAAAATGAATATTGATAATAATTCAAATACATGTTTGATAAATATTTATGATATAATCATATATTTTTATTTCTAACAAAGTATATTAGTGAAATAAAAAAAAATATGAACTCAAAAAAAATAATATATATATATTTAAAACAAAGTATTTGTTTAATAATTAATAATACACAATTAACATCAATTTTTTTTTAACAATTAAAAAGTTATAAAAGATAAAATATAATGATTGCCACATAGTGTCCATACTAAAAATGTAAATATTACATTTTAAAAATAAAAAAATTATAAAAGAACTAGATTTTATGATAATGAAAGAGGGTTTAACTTATCTGGGACTATGGTTTTAGTTCTAATTTTTTTCCTTGTTTCTAGTCCATGTGGCAGAGCATATCTTAATTTCTCCCAGAACCAATAATCACCCCACTTAATATAAGTGTTCATGGATAGGTATGTTTTTAACTCCAGATCTAATTCTTCAGTTGATATGTCTCCATAAAGTATGACGATGATACGGTTTCGCTTTTCTTTTAAAACATTTGTATAAGCTGTTCTGAATTCTGTGAGACCCCAAATGCTGTCCAAAAAGTTCTTTGACAATACAATGATAGTCCTTCGTGATTCATCAACTGAACGGGAAATTTGAGAAGGAATAAAATCTCCCACTACCCAGTCCCTGTAGTGGAGACAAAGTTTAAATGGTGTATTGCCACCTTCCAATTCAGGTACTAAATGTTTTGCAACTAATTCTAAGTCTTTATGAGAAAAACTAAGAAATGCATCATATTTTTTATCTTGGTCAAGAGATTTTTCAGAAATTGGCCAAGTTACATTGTGAGAGTACAACCATATTTTGATTTCAGTTGTGTAGCGATAATAAAAACTCAATAATAAACCCAATAATACACCACAGACAGCTAGAGATATACAGGCAACCATTAAGTTGACGTTCTTTAATTCATAACTATCTTGACATATTTCTTTCATGGTCTGGAGGGTATATAAAGGTACGGATGAGGCGCATGTGATATTAGCCAAATCTGAAATCTATTTATTAAAAATAGGTATTAAAAATAATTTTTAACAGTAATTAAATAGTTGTTACCTTTGATGAATATTTGTGAATAAATTTGAAAGTGTCATTTGCTTCACAGTTGCAAGCCCATGGATTACCACTCATTGATAGACGATTTAAGTTAGTTAATGTGTCATTCAAAATTAACTCACTTATCTTCATTAGATTATTATGTTCCAAATTCAATTCCTAAAGATTAAAATCAAAACTTTACAATAATACATTCATAAACCTAGTATATATAAAGGGTGATCATTTTGTCATGAACCAGCCAGCAATGTTTTCGCAGGATTTTAAGTGAATTTGATTTCTCTATTTAGCCATCGTTGTGGAATTGTTTAAGCTTTATTTTAAAACTATTTTAAATTTATACCCCTACTCTATATACTTTAAATAAGTACGTATTTTTGTTTTTCAATTAGAAACCCTTTTTTTAAACAGATTTTAATAGAGAATATTTTTCTAGAAATTTTGATATGCATAACACTAAATCAGATTTACCGTCTATGAGTTATTACCATTTAAAATTTAGACCAGAGAAGTTTGAAAGAGTTATTAATTTATCATTTTCAAGTAGATATACAATTTATTACCCTTCCTTACTTCTCTGATATAAACTTTAAACTGTAACTTGGTAAATCTGATATTAGTGTTATGCATATCAAAATTTCTAAAAAAATATTTTCTAATCAAATCTGTGTTCAAAAAGAGGGTTCCTATTTGAAAAAACAAAAATAAATATCTATTTAAACTGTTGTAGTAGGAGTAAAAATTAAAAAATTTAAATTTAAATTGAAGCTCTAACAATTCGACAACAATTCAAAAAGCAGAAATCAAATTTACTTAAAATCACCTGAAAAATGTCTGTTTTATTATAAAAAAAATCAAAGTATAGGAAACAACATTTTTAGAACAATAAATAAACTCTGCATTTTTTAAAAACTCAAAAAATATATAAAATACATGTTAGACAACTAATTAGCTTTATAAACTTACCATAATGTGTTTGGGTAAATGTGTAATATTTATCTTAGTTAACTTATTGTAGCCAACATTTAGCTTTTGGATGTTTAAATGTTTATAGTCCGGCAACTCCATAATTGAATTATTTTGCAAATTCAATTCAATATAATTAATGTGTCTACTAGAAATTATTGTTTTAGGAGCAAATGTTAAATTTCTACTTGAACAATTCATTATTGCAGATCTATCATAAGGACGGAAAGTGCATTCACATTCAGAACAATCAGTTTTATCCACATCATCATAAAACTTCCAATCACATGTTAAACTATCCAATTTTACATTTGCGAATTCCGTTCCATCATCACAACTTAAATTTTGTTCAATTTGAATGTACTTGTATGTAATTTTTGGCATCTGGTTTTGTAAGTACCTTGCAAAATCGAAATTCTGACAACCACAAATCAATCTATTACCAGAAAGGATTACATGTAATATTGGTGTAGTATTGGTATTCAATGAAATATCTGATTCACGAACCAAAAACTCCAATAATGATAGATCAATTACTTTAAATGGATTTAAACTAAGATCAATTTTTAATCTTGTATTTAAATTGTGAATTTCTTCTATGCTGAGAACTGTAAAATTATTTTTTGATAGATTAACTTTTTGTAATTTTAATAAATTGTGCCATCCAAAAGCAAAATTAACTATGTTGTTGTGTGACAAATCAATAACTTCGACTTTGCCCAAATATTCGAATGAGAATAAATTATTTGGAGACAAATTACTTATTTTATTATAAGCCAGATTTAAATATTTTAAATTGTTCATATTAAGTGCTCGCCTTTCAATATTCATTATTTGATTATTTTCTAAGTAAAGATAAATCAAATTTCCTAAGCAACTTAATCCATTGTTATTAATTTGACTAATTAAATTATTTGATAAATTTAATTCTTCTAATTGTGTTAGTGGTTTCAGTAACTGATGGTCAATCTTTTCAATCTGGTTTTTGGATAAATTCAATACTTTCATTTTATTTGAATCTCTGAAAAAATTCACTGGCAGTTCCTTCAAACGATTTGAAGCTAAAGAAAGTACTGTAATATTTGATGAATTCCAAATCATATTCTCAGGTACATTTTCTAATTTTAAATATGTGAGTTGAACTTCATTAAGATTGTACAAGCTTGATAAAAATTCATCGGGAACAGTAAAGTTGCCATAGTTGTATTTTATGAACTCTAAAGAAGTATTTTTAAATAGTTTACCTGTCACTGTAATAATATTGTTTTTATTCAATGATAATTGAACTAGTTTATTGAGATTCTCTACTGTTATTGACGTAAGTCTATTGTTGCTCACGTCCAAATGTTTCAGACTTGGAATATTCAAATTCAAGGTTTTCAAGTGGTTAGAGTACAAAAATAAATTTGTCAATGGAACACCATCAAATATATCGCTGTCTATTTTAGACAACTTATTTCCTCCTAAATCTAATATTTCTAAATTACGAAGTCGTTTGAATACACCATTAGGTAATTCTTCAATGTTATTGTCCCTGAGAAATAATTGTTTCAGATGAGGAGTCCCTTCAAATGATTCATTAGTTAAAATTAAATTTGTACTGCTAATATCCAACAGATTTAAACTTTCTAAATGAATCAAGTATGAACGTTCTAAACTACTAATGAGTTTCATGTTAATCAAATATATATCTTTAACTTCATTGATACCAAGTATTGCCATGTTATGATGAATTCCAGAATCCGACAAAATGCAATTTTTATAGTTTAATTGTTTAACATTAATTTGATTGAAAAACTGTTCCCACTGGATTTGATCAAAGTTACACTGTATTTCAACTAAAGAGCGCTTCATGTTGGCCCTCACAGTTGATGAGTTACATGTAACTTCTATCTCGTCTATTTCAAAATTTTTCTGGCAAGAACATTTTTGACTTTTTAAACATGTTAAGTATGACAATGCTTGTCCAAGAATAAGTTGCAATACAATAATGTTGGTCAACCAATTCATTCTGAAATAATAAAACAATACATTTTACTATTTAACTGAAAATTAAATAGGCATATGTTTTGGGTAGTGGTTAAACAGTTAATTTAACATGATACGAATACCTATAATAGTAGAAATATAGAGTACTTTATTTTTTTGTGAATATGATTAATTAATATTATTAATAAACACAGAATGAACATAAATGGAATTTACTAATTCCAAGATTTTAGATTTTAAAACTATTCTTAAGTTTAATCAAAATTCGATACAGTTTTGGTTATATATCTACTTCACAGATATAATCAGTGCCTAAACTAAAAATAATAAAATTAAAATAAAGCATTTTTGTTGTTTTGAGTAATCTGAGTACTGAAAATGTCTTCTTAGGTAACCAACTATAATACATAGTTTTAAAAGATATTATATATAAAAAGATTTAGACAGACCAATGATGCAATTAACTTAATTAATAATAGTTTGTACTTATGATTATCTAATTATTAAATAATATACAATTTATTAAATATAAAAAAAATGTATCCAGAGTTTTATCTATCTTGTTAAATTAATTCTTATTATTAATCTAGTCTTAAAAAATAAAATAAATAAATAAAAAACAACCACCTAATTTGTTTTTCTCGAGAATATAATACCTACCTACTCAAAAAGTGATGCATACAATAAGTATTGAAGCATAAAGAACTTTGTACTAAAATACAATATACAGTGATATTTTCTCATAAATGTGGAACAACTATTGTCTTGAAAAATATTAAATTTTAAATATTATGAAAGTCTAGAAAATTACATATTTATGTAATTTCTATCATTTTTTTTTTTTGTATTTAACTATGTATGTTAAACCTATACTTAATATTTTAATTTTCAAATGGAAATATTAGCAACACATACTTTTTCAATTTATTACTATTTAGCCGTTAAAATAATTGAATTCTATTAATCTTTTTATAGCCTTTTATGGTTATACTTGAAACACTTTTTCTATTAATGTCCAATTTTTTCATTTGTGTAGGTACCTATTATCCGTGATGTGATATAAATCAGGTTTATATGAATATCAGAATTTTAAAATCCAAAAATATGGATTTTGGATGGATATTATTGAAATGTCAACAATTTGTATTAAATAATTTAAACTTTTGGCACTTATACTTCAATTTTATAACTAGTTTGACGTTTATATTATTTAATATACTCGCTTAGTTCAAGTAGCTTTATTAAGGGAGATCGGCCCTTAAATGAAGAGGCATAACCACTTCAATAACATGTATTTAATATTATAGTGGAGCTTCCCCCCAATATTTATGAGTTAATTGCACCAATGGCTTACATATACTTCATACTATTGACATCTAGACCCGTGATACATCATTTGATGAAATATATTCAAAATTAAGAAGCAAATACTAATATTCTGTATCAAGATTGTAATGAATAGAATTTTGAGGAAAAAAATGAAAACGATACAGACTTTGAATATGTTTTAAAATGTATATTATCAAAAATATTTTCTGATAAATAAAAACGTAATCAATGAATTTTATGTGCATTTATTTGTTTATACAAATAAGTGATCCATACACCAAATTATAATACTTTGTACATATAAGGTGATAATGGGTTTAACTTTTACTTGAGTAAGTTGTGAAAGAAATTTGTCTATAATTAAATTCATAAAAATAAGACTTAGGTTAACTATTTCTCACAACATATTTAAAAAGAAGCATTCATGTTTATGAATCTAGAGTGTGGAGTGTTGGTAGAGGATAATATTAATATTAATTGTTTTTTACTGAACTGAAAAGGATGTCTATTGGATATTTTTTGTATTCATACCATGTTTTAAATTAATTTAATCTTATGGACAATGTTAAATTTCATGTTTAAATAGGTACCTATTTTAAATATAACAACAATACAACTTTGTAACTACATTAAAACTAAATTTGTTTGGCATTCATTATTATAGTGATGTGTACAATATACATATATATATATATATAGTGTCATATACATTTATTTCAATTTAGATTCTTAGTGTAATCTTTCAGTTCATAAACTAAATTACCCTGTATCTGACTTGTTTTATATCTTCCCAGCTTTCCTACTTGCTAACACTATCCTGTATGTTGTATAAGGAGTATGTAAACCTACTTATGTAGCTAAGTATTACATACGGTAAGTTTAATAAAAACAAAATCCAGAGGGAGCAATTATGTAATTTATTTATCATAGCTAGGTAATACTATTTTTTTTTTATTTTTTTTTTTGCTATTTTCATTAATTATTTGTCAAAATTAGCCCTTGGCTAAAAGTTTTAAAACTATGGACTGGCCTGTGACCAAGCCCCTGCCTACTTATACTTAATTGTCAAATGTTACTAATTATTATTAAGTTTGGTAACAAACGTATATGAAAACTTCTAATTTTCAAACTTATCATCTCTCAAAAAAAAATGAACTTAAATGGGTTGTATTTCAATAACAGGTTGATAAAAATTATAAATTGTAACATTCAAATGTATTTAAAATATCCGGTTCCAATTAAAAAATTGTTGATTTATGGATGTTTGGTACTTTGGAATAAAAAAAATCAAAAGAAAATAATGGTTGTGTTAATAAAGTTGAACAAAATGTTTAAAATTTTCGTAAACAAGCAGGTCTCAATGCAGTTACAATGTACTTATCTTACATTTTTGAAAACAAACCAAGTTGTTACAAGTTGTTTGTTATTTCCAAGATAATAACTATCAAGTGTCGTGAAAAACACACACTGTGGTTGAACCTAAAAGTTATACTTCAACCCACAATTTTAACATTATAAAACTAGGTATTCTAAAAATATACCTATTTTAAAGGCTTCTTGAGAAAGTTCGTTTTTTATCGATTTATAATAATTTAAGTAACCAAAAAATAAACGATACCGATATGATTTCGATTATGGTTGATCCTTTGGATTCAATGTAAGAAAACCCAAGAATTAAAATTAAAAAAATTTAATTAATTCTATTTCTGCTGATTTTAATTATAAAAGGTATTTTCGAGGAAATTTTAAAAAAACAATTGCGAACTTCAATAGGCTTTTCATTATAATTAAAAAGTGAGTACAAGCTAACAATTTTGAAAACATCATGATTCAAGTTGAAAAAATAGAATCGCTCTTTTCAGCAGATTCGTTCCGAAAAATGTAAACTGTGGACTGTGCCACAAGCGAGGCTATAAAGCAGCATGTTTCCTAACTTTTTTTTTTGTTCTACGACCCCTCCCCCTTGTGGATTTTCAAAAATCACACGCCTCCACCTGGTAATGAAAACGAAAAAGGGGTAAGATGTTTTGAATTTTATATATGGTTGATTTGCGTCGCCGTAACTGCAACGCTGGATGTGCCGTACTGTCGCTAATCACGATCATACAATAATAAAATTGTGGTAGGTCGGTAGGGTTGGGTTAGGTTTGTTGGTATTGTCGCGGTATTTGGTGCCTATCCGAGTATAACACGATAATAACGGCGGTCCATACTTGTCCGTCGTCGTTATCGTCAACACGGCAGTCGAACTTCCGCGCAACCGGTATCGCGAACTTTGCGCGCGTACCGCCGCCGTCGAACGTTAGTATCACTCGTGGTCATGTGGACAGCTTGCTCTCCCGCGGGGTGGTCGCCGCCGCCGCCCAAAGTCCGTATCTTCAACAGACACCCCGGAGAATCGTACCGAAAACGTACACTACACGACAGCTACCCGTCAACTCGAAGTCGGAGTATTGCAAGGGGCAGGCGGGTACGCGACAACGATATCGACGGCCGGTTGCACAACACAAAAATACGAGTAAGTGTTATGTAATATACGCGCGCGAGCCGCGACGTTGAAAACCAACAGGAAAAAAAAAAAAAAAAACAATTTACGAAAATAATATTACGGCGCTCGACACCGGCTCTACTGCGTTTATTTCTACGATATTTCTCGGGCTGTCGTCGTAATAGAACGAAATAGAGAAAAAAATAAAAAAAACACAACAAAACGGCTCGTGTCGGAATTATTTGCGGGTCAATAATACTAGAATATGATTATCGCGAAGTAACAAGAGAGGAAAAAACAACGTGTGGGGACACGCGCGCGCGTATCTCCGTCGTTCGTGTGGTGCGTACACAAGCACACGTCACACGGAACAGAGGAACGCCCGGGGACGTCGCGCCGCACGAAAAGTGGCGAACTCGGAACTGGCGATTGCCGATCGCCGAGCGGCCGCGGCGGCGAAGAGAACGCGGCCGAGGTCGCCGTCCCACCTAAAGCACAACCGGTTTTAGCGTGCGTCGTTACGATGACGATTGCATCGCGTGAATATATAACGCACATTATTATTATTAGGTGTTTTTTTTTTCTCGTTGTTGTTTTCGTACGTACGTTTATTCAATAATAATAATAATAATAATGGAAATGCGGTTCGGCGCGAGTTGTTATTACGCCACGAAATCACGGTCCGGCGGCGTACCCACTGCACGCCTAGGTGTTGACAATCGGAGAGGAGAACGAGAAAAAAAAATCCTACTTTATTGCTATTATTTTTATCCCCCTTTGTTCGCGAATGCATAATCAAACATAAAACAACAATATTTACGTGCCATCGGTCTTTTTTTCGCGGGGATTCGATTTCGTTTCACGTAACTGCGCGACCAGTGTAAATGCTGGCGTAATATTTTTCTGAACGCCAAACACCGGCCGCGGCGTGCCGACCACGAATTGTTTTTTCTTCTTTTTTTCCATACAATTGTTTATTACACCGCTACAGCAGCGAGCGATTTATTTTCTTCTTCGCGGCGCCCACTCGCTTTGAACTCGAAGACACAAATTAATACTAATAAGTGTGGGTTGAACGAAGTAACCCGCGTCATCCCCCGTTGCAAACGCCAACTCGAGCCGAACACACGCTTTACATACGACCTTGAGTCGATGACACGAGGTCCCCATCGGGGTGGACCGTGGTGCCGGAGGAAGTCAAACCGACCGAGCCGTTGTGATGTGATCAGTCTTCGGGCGGCTGGTCGATCCTCGCCATAGCCTCCCCGAGGGTCCATTCTGCTGATGAAACTACGCCAAGTACGCCAAGTATCTGGCCTGCTTTTTTGGCATAGCGCTGCTATTCCGCTACAATTGCATACTTTGCATACTTACTGTTGCACACTTGGTTTTTCTTAGAGTACGCCAATACTTTAATTGCGACTCGTCGAGAGGTGTCGTTGTTGATTTACTAGCGTACTTTCTTGTACATGTTCGATTTGGTTATTTTTCAGAGTTCTAATCATATTGATTATTTTTATTATTATTTGTTTATCGACGGTGACTACTGTTGGTCATTTATACAGCGTATCTTGTACCTACTAAATTTTTACCTGAAATGAATGTGGCGCGACTGAATTTTTGTTTTTATTTAACGATGAACAAGATGATGACTGCAGACAGTTGACGACTGAAAGCGAGTCGTTCGTCAATGAACTGTCGGACCTATCTTTCGATGGTAGACCTCTACCTATTTTTGAGTATATCGGTTTCCGACGAAGAATTTCGTAACAATTTTCGGATATCAAAACATGCATTTGATGAACGGTAACATATAACTTTTTCCAATTCGAAAAACACTAAAACAGACTCGACAATTTACACTAATAACTTTTCTAAAATATTATCTTAGATAATTTTATAATATATAATCTTCTAAAGATATTCCATCAGTTAATACCGGCGTTATCAATAAAACAAATACGAAAATTATGCTCCAACAAGAAAATAGCAGAATAAAAGCCAACGCCAAAGTCAAGTACTCCGTGTACGCTCCTCTCGAAAGTATGCGAAATACGCGCCCGCTTTTTCACGAAAAATAACAGAATAGACCCCCTGATCCTCTCGTCCTGCTCCTTACGGCACAATATGTTCTCGACCATGCCGTAGGACTGGGTACTGCGAATTGACGCGGCCGGGGGGACGACGCCGCTCCTGCAACCACCGACATACGCTCTGTGTCGGCTGTATGTGTATTCAATTTTGTCTGTGTTAAAATGTCAGTGTTTTCTATAACAAATACATGAGACATAACCATGGTGATGATGTCTTGTTTTGCGTTTCGGTGTAAAAACCAAGCCCAGCGCGGTAATAATATCAATTTTTGTTCGTAAGTTTGAATATTTTAATCCTTAAACTTAAATTAAAAACCAGTGATAATATTGATGAAGCGGCTAATGGATTTACTTCAATCGTTCATAAAGCGGCCTGAGCATCTCAATCTAATCCAAACGGCTGCTCTATTTCTATTAATCCCTTACCGATGCACATACGGTCATTAATCACTGTAAAGAGGAGAGCTAGGGCACGATACCAAACCTCTTGTTTACCCTCTCATCAAGCGCTTTACAACAAACTGGCCAATTCTCTAAAAAAATACCTTACAAAACACAAATCAGATATCTTTGAATGAAAATCACCTAATATATCCTAGATATATTCGGGTGTCAGACTAAAATCATTCGGTAAAATGGACTCTTGTAAAATACTAAACCCAGTTAGCAAACGTCATAAATTGACAAAACAAATATTATTTATCCTAAATACAGGGCTTATTCTAAAGCACAGTTTTGCCTAACCTAACCTAACCTTTCTTTTAGTCTAGTTAACGCAATGTTAATTTCATGGAAATCTCTGGTTATATACATGCAAAGTTCTAAAGAGAAAGAGTCTAACGGTTTTTTATTATTATTAACTAATAAGCGCACCATTTATGTGTTACCATTTTTGGTAGATGTGTTGGCCATTTTAGTCGTTATCAACAAATTATTCATAATGATAAAATTATGGTTTTTGATTTTATTAAACATATATATACTGAGTCAGTTGTAAAGAAAATTAAATTAAGCTAAATTAATTTAGTTAATGGTTGTTTAGATGTAATAAAAAATGAACTATTGGAATTGATGAAGACACTGATGGAAATTCTCTAAAAAATATAAAATTAATTGATTTTCAAGAAAAATGAAAACAAGCATAATTACTAAAAATAGTCGGATGTACATTTCATGAATTTCTAAATTGTATACAACTAAATAATTATAAGTATAAAAATAATAATATTTATTCAAATGAATAAAAACGGGCAAATGCTCTTATAGTATTGATACTGACAGGTATTGATAGTTACAATAAATTAATATAAATGTTTTTTACAATAAAATGCCTAATATTTATTAATTATAATTTTAATAATGTTGTCTTGATTAGGAATAATCTTGAATTATTTGGTAATCGTGGGTTTTGCCAAATGTCTGCCTTTATTTATAAACATAAATGAAACTGAAACACAAATATACAAATTTTTTTTTTTTTTTAACTGTTGCGGTCATCTTTTATCAAAATTACGTAAGTACTATAACGAATTATTATTTATTATATTAACATCATTGCTTGAATTAGTTGAATTGGTAGAAGGGGGTACGCTACAGGGGAAGGAGCTCCTCTATTTAACAGAGCTCTTCTACTTTAATTTTCCCAGTTCGAGCACTGATTGTATAATATTATTATACATTTATAAAAAAAATGTTTGGTACCAAAGTAGTTTTTACTAAACTAATGTAAAAATTAACGACTAGCGAGTAGTAAATTGGTGTTATTTTATGTAAATACATCCAAAAATACATTAAAAAAACAAAGTTCAACTATAGACATTTGATTGTTTTATAGGGAGCAAGGTTATATATTATTATAGTAATAATCAAAAAACAAAACAAACACTAACAAAGGTCAACTTCAATAACAAAGATCATTTTAATTTCGAAGTCTTTGTTAAAATTTAGAGGGCTTTTAAAAGGAATATCTAGGGAGATAAGTCTTTAAAGCTACTTATGCCCGATTAGGGGGTGAGTAAAATGTATCAGTTTTTACTATTGATTTCTAAAAGGCGTTTTCAAGGCCCTCTGAAATATTTTGCTTAGGGTCTCGCAAAACCTAGCGCAGGCCCTGATTACACACATTTAATAAATAATATAATGCTTGTAGTAATTAATAGTTGAAAATATATTTAAATAGCATAATAATAAAATACAGTATTTATTTCAATTTTCATAGTAGAACATTTTAGATTCTGAGCAAAACGAGAAATTTATTGGTTTTACAATGATCTTTTTTTTTGTATATAAACAATTTTTCCCCGATTTTCAAGTGTAGAACTTTTTCTGAAAGTAAACCTGACTGAGATGGTACTTTAAGGGGGTAATTTTTTGATTTTTCCAGGAGATTCCATAATAAATGGGAATAAAAAGGGAAAATTTACGAAATGTATTATTTCCAAATCGTAAATATTACGACCTTTAAAAAAAAAAGAACCGAACTCCGCTCAGAATTAACAACGATTAATCATTATGTACAAATATGAATTAAATTTTCCTTTTACCTTCCCAACTTCTCACCTACAACAGTGGCCCACCCATCGTACAAAGTATGCTAGTCTCTTTTTATAATGTAAGTTATCAGATTTTATAAAAGTATGAATACAGTGCCGGTGGGGGGAGCGATTTCACTATGAGAAATAATCCTACGAAACATCACGGTTATATTTTAAGTACTTGTGGTAGGGTTGAAAGCGATTTATTACAAGAGGGTGGTTATATGATATAGGGATGATTGGAACATTAAAGCTTCTGTAGCCCTGAGACCCAAAATACTTAGTTGTGGCACTATACGAGTACCAAGTACTTTCCATAAATTGTACAACATCTCTGCTGAATTAATTTTTAAATGTTACAAAATCATAGAACTTCTATTTAATGAAATAATTAATTTGGGGTTAATTAGAATTTGAATTGGTTATAAATCCCAATAAATAGGTATGGATAATAGTATTCATATAACATAGAATAATATATTTATAATTCTATTTTCGTAGTATTTCATAGCTTTTTACTGCTTTATTTTAAAAAAATTGTTTTTCTTTAGCTATTTTTATTTCAATATTTAGTTCATAATTTTACTCAATAGTTATTGTGTTCAAAAAAAAATTAAATTATAAGAAAATCAGTTTATCACTATAAGAAATTTTACATTTTAATTATTAATCAATCATAAATATGCAATAATTAATTGTAGCATAAATATAATGTATTTTTAAACTATAAAACAGCAGGTCAATAGGTGACAGCGATTAGTAAGAACTGATTACACAATAAATTATACAATCATATTACGTTTGTTTTGTTTTGGAAATATTTAACACTAAATAAAATTGATTTATTTATTAATAACATTATTAAACATTTGAAATTAATACTATAGATACATTTCATAAGAGTAATTATTACAGTAATCGTTTAAATTTCATAATGAATGAGTACATGGAATGATTTAAAAAAAGTTTAAGGTCGTGTGAAAATAAAAAAATATCTAATAATTTTTAATAGGTACCTACTATCTCATCTCTTATTTTCACAGAAATTGAAATGTATAAGTAGGCAAGTGTTTTCTATAAGTAACAGAGTACTTAGTGCAAATTGAATTTGTTTAGATCTGTTAATAAAAAACCACAGATAATATTAAATATCTATATTTTATGTATTCATAAATAGATATTTAGTAGATTATTTAGTTAACATAGTAACTACTAGAAGTAGGTATGTCCGTTAATGGCGTACTTACGGAAGGGGTTTTTGGGTTCAAAAAACAAAAAATTGTGAGTAAGTGATATTGTAGGTATTCATTGTTTAATTGTTACAATGTTACTCTCTGAAGTCTGAAATATTTCAAAACTTGTATAACCGAACTCAGTTCCGAATCGTTTTTCCTTAACAATGGTTTTTCATTGCATTGATTATTCTTAAAGTTAATAGGATTTGTATTTTTCACAGAACTTTAAATTACTAATGTGTTACATTTTATATGTGAGATATGAGTGAAACCAATTGATCTAATCACTTTATACTGTACCTATACTATAATATACACTTTCGCTCCAAAATAATATTTTATGATTATCAGATGGCTAAAGAAGTGTGTTTTCAACAATCATAGTGGCTAGGTCAGTTAAGTTTTAGATTAGGGG